TGCTTTTCCAGGCAAATTTGGCCAAAATTGGTTACTTATTGTGAATTGGCACCGTTCCCTTTTGCTAGAAAAAAATGTCTTTATATTAGGCACCCGAATCTACTAATTTATATAAAAAAAATTTAGACATGAGAGTTTTTATCAAATATTTGCCTTTCTTAAAAAGTACTGCGATAATCTTCAGAATCACAGTAGATACACAAAATACGCACGTCATCGTTTCAGTTCATAGGTCCCGCAGTGGCGCGAATGGAAAATTCCTTAACGAAAAGTGCTCATGGTGTGGGACACAGATTACGGAGAAAATGCGCAGCGCCCAGGTGAGGGAGGACAAAGGGCGAAGACTACGTGCAAGATTTGATGAGCAAAATGAGACCATTTTTTAATAACGCCTCTCTTAACTAAACTAATACTGAACACACGATGTAAAAAAATCTTCCGATCAAGCAAAAAATTGCAGACGTCAGCAGTATAGCCTGATTAAAAAACTCGGACGAGAGGATGAAAGAAATTCGTGAATTGGATTCGAATATTTGATCAGAGACGATGCATTCCTTGGTGGCAAATCCCACTTGTCAACTGAAAGGATTAAGATTATTAATTAATTGATTTTTATAACAGCTTTGAGCTTAGACTATATATTGAGAGATTATGCGTACAGTATTATGGCGTCCAAAGATGTATATTTTATATAGCCGCGTACATAAGCATTTTAAATTCAAATATACATATAAAGCTTGAAGCCCAAAAATGACATCTATTCAACTTTAATTTTCAGTATAATAAAAAAAATGTTTTGTTGTAAATTTATTTATTAGTAAATTTAAAAAATTTTTATACATCATTAATTTATATGCTAATTTTTTTAGTAATTGCCGCAAACCAAATCAAAAATGATTTGCATATTTAGAAAAGAAAAAAATATGATAAAAAAAGCCTGTCATGATCATAGTGCTGAGATATATGTACCATTCAATACCATCACTTTATTGATTTCCATCAATGGAATGTGAGAGCATTGATGCTTTTTTCGAAACATGACAGAGGCGCTCTCTATTACTTAATATACCATCGAGACGATTTAACCTTCCTTAAAGGTAAAGTGCGCTGTGCTCGTGAAAATGTGTATTTTATAATTCTCAACTTGGTATGGATTCAGGACGAATAAATCATTTCGTTTGATGATTGGAAAAAAAGAAAAGAACCTCGATCGACTCTGCGCGGCGGCAATTGAAATGATTTTGCTCTTGTGCGCCGCGTCCACGATAATCTTTCTCTCTTGGCTTTATGTGTGTGTTTTTGTTTGATGATGCATTGAGAGAGATATACATAATGGCTCTCAGCCGAGTTATTCAATAAAAAACAGAAGCGCGGGGGTGATCACGATATGACCTTAAAACATAATAAAACCAAACAGAAGCCATTGGATTTATATATGGCGCGCGGTATGAGCATAATGTGATGCTGCCTCAGGAGTTGCAACTGTCTTTTTCAATTTTATAATGCGCAACATTTTGTCTTCTCTGCGGAAATAAATAAATACATATAAATTAAGAAAATTACAATTATTTTGATTGTAATTGTGAGAAGAGTAAAAAAATGGGGAAGTAAAATTGGCAATCTCACCAAAGTAGGCAATAAAATTTTTTAAGAATCATTTATCTTTTAATTGTTTTATGGCTGGCCAAACGCATCATACTTCCCCTGACTACACTGATGCATTCCATTCCTAACGTTTTCTGTGAATGCAATAAACAAAATCAGACAATCAGAGGCGCCTCATATGGTCAGGACTTGCACAGACTTGCAGTAAGAGGCTAGAAAATCGTCTCAGCCACCCTGAATGGGAGGTGAAAAACATCCATAAAATGCCACATTGTAAATTATAAGCCCCAGACTTTCACGCTGAGGGCCATTGTTGGAAGAAAAATCCCGCACTTCCCATTCATTGTCACTCAAGTATGAAAATCGCTGCCTGAAAAACTTACAGCCCGAGGCCACATTCTGATATTTTTATTTGCCTTTCCCCCCAATGAATGGAGTGTTGAGGTATCTGACGGACCCTCTTGTAAGTAAACAACCTCTATCCCATTCAATTAGAGGGCACAAATCTTTGCTATTCCAGAAGTGTTTATGTGTTTGCTTAGATGACGTAATAACGCACTTCATTTCCGCATCACACAATTCAAGTTCCAGTTAAAACTAAATTTTATTACGCGATATGATATTAAGTTCCAGTTTACTAATCCCAATCACTGTCAATAAGATAATCAAGATTTTTAAAGTGCTGGTCTCAAAGCTCAAATTTCACATGGCCAGGTAATTATTCTCAGATGATTGAAACAATTACTGTAATTTGCGTTCTGGAACAGTCGGACCAATCGGAATTGAGATAAAAAAAAATTGGCGGCAAAGCGGTAGTATCTGGCAATCTGAAATTCCGCCACGTTCATTAAAATGATAACGCATAACCTTGGTTATCTGATCAATCGAACTGCTTGAGTCAGACAGTTGGATTGTTTTACTTTTCTTTTTGTTTGCTTTTTTGCATTATCAAACCACCGCGGCGTTTGGCCCCTTTAGCACGTCTGGGATTTCCAGCGTTATCTCCAACCAGAGACCTTTCCTTGCATAATGTTGCGTTTCTCTTCCTTCTCTCCAATGCCGCTATTCTCCAATTGATTATACGGTCGTATTTGAGGGGAGCTAACCTGTGATTCACCTGTGAGACATGCATTCCGATGAGCTGCTGCATATGCGCTCCTTTTGGGATCGTTCGGGAGACGCGATAGCTCTCTCGCGGTTATCAGTGCGGCTCCAAGAAAGAGGCTCGGCCCTTTGTTTCATATATGAAAATCTTAAGATGAGATCAAATCTTTGGAAGCCGCGAGCGCGACAATTTTTTTATTATAGAGTAGCTAATAGAGTTTGAAAGATAAAATTGAAAATCTCATAACGAAAATCTCTCACCCAATCCCACCTGCAATAAAGAAAAATGTCATTTCTATTTCTGAACCAGTGATACCTGGCATTTCAGACATTCCGAGGCGAATGACACCAGCATATCAGTCATCTTTTTAATTGTCTGCTTATTGTGATTGAGAGGACCTGGCTTTTTCTAGATAAACGTATATTAACCTAAATTGCGAATTCCGAATCCATGATGTGAATTTAAACTATGGTATGCTTGGTGATCATTCTATCATCAGAGCATTCCTTCGATCATCTCGCGAAAGCGCGCTATGACATCAAATAATTATCAACTAACATTTTTGGCAGAGCATATAGAGATAATCTTTTAAATCTTTATTAATAACTAAAAACAAAAACTTTTCATATTTCAAAGTAATTATAACCAAATAAATACTCGCAGCCCAAATTTCTTTCAGAAGTTGGCTCTGAAATTTTGCAGTGCACACATATTAGCTGACCTCCACCCAATTTTTACTGAATATTAATTTTTTAAATTAAAAAATGTATGTATAATAGCTAAACATAAACATAGTTAAATTACATAGCTGTATAATGAAGGATAAACTATCAAAATTCAATTTAAAATATATTTAACATATTTTATTTGCGGTTTATTTTATAATATACAAAGTTTATTTTTGGTTTTTGGCTTTTTAACGCAATTTACTAAAAATTATTTTGGTATAATAGTATTAAATATTTTAATTTATAAACTTCAATATAATCAGATGATTAACAATAATAGTGTTATAATAGAATATTTTTATTTACTAAAAAAAATAATTAAACAAATTGCGTGTTTTAATTAAAATGTAATATGTATCTCAACATTCAACATCATGGTTGTAACAGGTTGTAAAAAAAAACTGCAATAATATTAAAAATTAATAATCAAAAATCCACTATAAATCTGATATCTCGCATTGTAGAATTCTTAGCGAGTATGTCGGAAGGTGCTTAATGATTCACTATTGTAATCAAAAGAATTAATTAATCATTGGTCAGCATTTGGTTATTGATCATTATAGTTTTTTAAATGATATCGGAAATGAATCAAATCTTTTGTAAGAACTCTTAGCGATTAATCTTTTTTGCATTCTGCCGCAGTCTGGAAATTGCATGTTGAAGAATATGACTCACAGGTTTAATGCATTATTGAAAAACATAACCTTTACGTCCTGTGTGGCGACTAATTGTTTTAAAATATAGTATCTCTCGCGAGGCTTTGATAACTTTTTTTCCTAGAATTCAAATATATAATAATGAGGTTTATTATCTTTTATCAATTTTCTTTTTAAAATTCGATTTGTATACTTTGAAACCATTGAAACGGTATACAAATTACGTTTCACTTGCTTTTAGTGTAAAAAAAACAATAATTGATTGCTTGTATGCAAAATAATTGCGCCTTGTTCCTCCAAAGCAATATCTTATCTAATCTCGCACTAATTCGTAATTCCATTACGCAAAAAATCACCAAATTACAATCCTTTACATTTATTATCAACAAAATGCAAAATTCCTAAATCGAGGCACTTCCTTATATAGAGATTAGCGCCGCTCTTGAATAACCTATTATGCAGTGAACGCGTAACGGTGAGCGCACTGGTGATAAACCCAATTCCGAAAATTACCCTTATCGGATTTGCGCGATCGAGTGCAAACTTCCGCAGTGATATGCATCGTCGGCTCATTAACGGGCGCGAGATAAGGAGACCTCGGCATAGGGCGCCAGGTGAGCCCACATCAGAGACGATCATCAGTGACTGCATCTCTCTATCCGTGACGTCACTCGAAAAAGGAGAGTGATCCCGCGAGAGATCAAGAAATTATCTCTCTGAATGGGGAGGAGGGGCGAAGCTATACCTGTGCCTGAGTGTGTGTTTATTTTTTATTGCCAGGCGCGAGTAGCGTGGGTGAAAATTGGTGGTAAAACTGGCGAGTGGAGGGGGGGCCGCGAAGGGAGGGACTAAATTTTGCTCTCGCATAATATATACATAAAGCAGGTAGAGCATTGCAAGTTACTCAGTCCTGACGCAGACCCTTACCTTGCAACACGCTTCCTATTCCCATTCAGGACGTCCCAGCGAGACACTCACACAGACATACGAGAGAGTTTTATGTGACGAGACCTAGCCAGTTCATTCATCACACATGAAAGGTAAGACTATTAGATTCCAATGCTCGATCTTTCTTTTCCTCAACCGGCGCCGCGCCGTACGGTAGGTCAAGTGCGTTGCACCATATGAGCTTATCCAGCTCGTAGTCGCAATGCACGCCGGCTTATCTATTTAATGTTAGTCTCGCTTTGGTTTGATTACTCGTTCATAGTTATAGTTAGACTAATTAAAAGATTTAGCGAAGATCAATTTTATTTTAAATTTTGCCAAAATATACAATTAGTTTTTTTTTATTCAAAATAAATCTTTTAAAAACCTTCTCCATAATTTTTTTAAATCTACATGGGAGAAAAATTATTGAATTTAGTTAAATGAAATTATTTAATATATTTTAAATTTACTCGCAACCTGGGTCCATAAACAAGACACGTGGACCGAATAACGACCTGTTGCGCTCTGTGTCAGATGGCCATTAAGGTGCTTGGCCTACCTTCTCAAATCTCAATCTGGTCTTTTTTATAACGACCAGACGGTCTCCCGCCAGACTTTTATTTTAATATTGTGTGATAAAATGTAATGTTGAACATCAGTTTGGCGGTGGTCTATGGGTTTTGGGCGATTTCGTCAAGTTTCCTCCTCGCCAGCAGGCAACAAATATTTTAAAATCTGCACGTAAATTTTGAGCGGTTAATCTTTCTCACAGGGAGCTAATTCGCATTTTTGGCGAAAATGCCAAGGTAAACGCTCGCGCCGCTAATTAAGTTTGGCGAAAATTAAATATGGGTCAGCATTCCTGTGTGTTTTTTTCCGAGCGCGGTGAGGGCAAAGGAGATTCTCTCTGTATCGCGGTGGCGAGACGCGTTTTATTCTTTTAATTATAGGCACTATTACCGGCGTGCAGCAATTATGAGCACATTATACATTTTGAAACGTCGAATTTTCGTCTGGCAGTTCTTCTCCTATTTGGTACGAATTGCCGGATTCAATTAGGAGAGATTTCCATTGCGAGAGCTTATAATAATTTTAATTAAATGTCCATAATTTTAATTATCCGCCTCTGCAATTAAGTGTCAGCGTCGGTTTTTGTTTAAAAACCTGTTTGCGAATTGTGAAAATTGCAAAACTCTGGAAAGATTCGAACATGGAAAAAATGTAATAAATTGTTTAATTTGTTTCAAAATATTTAAACAGTCATCGTTAAATTATAATTTATTAAAATACTTAAAGAAATCAATATTGCCACTTTCAATTTATTTGATCTTATGTAAAAAAATTAATAAAAAACCAATTTTAATAAATTACATCTTGAATGATACCAAACATTTCCATTTTTATAGTAATTAAAAATTTAAACATAGTTTTGTTATTAAATTGTAAAAAAAATATTTCCTTTGTTGGTTTAAAGTGATACATTAAAAAAGAACTTAATCTTTCCTTATTATAGTAAAAAATTCCTGTGGTAAATTTAACACTTACAACTACATATACTTTTATAACTTTGATAATCGTTCCATTCACAAGTCGCGGCGTATGATTAATGCACTCTCGCGTATTGTCGGCTCGAGTGAGAGTCTCCGAGAATCGAGCTGCCGATTCCAAAGAAAACGCACTCTCGAGAAAACCCTACTCCAACGAACACGTCTCCAGCACATTACCCGTGACTCATTTTATGCAAAGGTCGTCTCGAGAAAGAAAATTCAGGCGGCAAAAAATTCTGGAGCACTCTCTCGTATGTTTTAGACTCGGCAGCACTTTAAACGTATATTCCGCCCACAACAATCTAACCGCCGAGCGCGTTACGAGTTGTTTGACAATTAAACATCCACAGCGAAATACCCACAGCCGTGAATCATCCTACCGGGTAAAATACCAAATCTCGGCCGGCACACATGGCTAATGTTGTCGATTAGCTTGCCTTGTGTAAATAATTGTCCAAACACGGTGATGTTGCTGGTCAAGAGCGCGGTGATTGATGGTCGCGGAATGTTTCAGGTTCTTAACTATATTATTTATAATACCTGATGCATGCCCGTCTTGGAATGAAATGAAGTCTCTTGGTGAGCGAGACATGCGCTAATAGAAAGCTTCGTCAGCCAAATGTAAATTAATTACATCAGCCCAAGTGGGCACGTCTGTGTATCTCAACAAGTCTGTTGTCTTTATGTGAAAATTAGTCAGCAGAGGAGCAAAAAGACAGTTAATTATTTTTGTCACTATGGCTTGAAAAAAATGAGAAAAGCTTAAACTGGTTTATTTGGAATTATTTTTCATGCTGAATTCGGCAAATATGAACACAGAAGAAATAAAAAAGAAAATATTAGAAATATTTTGAAATTTACCAAATATATCATTTATTTTTTTTAACTCTTAAAAGTAAGCAAATCAATATTTATTTTTTAAGAGAGAAAATCAGGAGTAATCCAAGTAATTAATAACAATTTTTATAATATACTATAATAAATCATTTCTTTCTATTAAAATGTATTTGATCTTAGGATATTAATTTTAATTGCTTTATATCTATTTTACAACAAAATTTCCAAGCCATATGGAAATTTAAATTTTGCATGCGTTTTATTGAATGAAAATTAAAACGTTAAACTTATTTAAACGGTCTCTCGGTAACTTCTTGTGGAAATTGACACCTGAATAATTAAAGATGCGACACTCGAGATTATTTGACGGCGCGCCAACAATAAAACGTACAAATAACTGCGCCAAAGTCGATGAAACACGTTATACACACATATGCGAAATAGATAAGTGTCTGTCTCGGACTTGTGAGAGAAAAGTTGCTCCTGCGAGTTGAAGTTTAAAAAAAAATCCAAAATCAACGTTTATAGTCTGTCGGTTGCGGAGAAACTAATTAATGCACGCGCACTCTGAATTATTTTCTCCTGCTGGCAATTTTATGTCATTATTAAAGCGACAAAAGGATCAGATTCTTGGCATAGAATATTCATGTCTGCGCCGCGCTCTCTCATAATATTATCTGCGCACAGACTGTTTGGCACCTTTCATTGGGCGGAATACAAATGAGCAACTCCTTTTCTTATATACGTATGCGTGAGTATTTTTATTCTCTTTCTCGTTGCGCGCACCACGAGTGTATATAAAACAGGATTCTCCTGTTGACAGGTGTGCAATTCAACGGGTTTAGTGGTGTTTTGCCAGAATATGACAAGCGAACATGAATTTTAAGATCAATCAAGCTGACTTTGTTGTGTTCTCTCGTTGGCGCGAGCAATTTGTCACAGTGCCGATCCGACCAATATATATTCTTCTCAGCCATCTCTATTCGTAATAAAAATGTACATGAGACATTTTGGCACCGAGAGATCACCTCTGCCCGGAGTTGAGTTCTTCTATTGGTTATATTGGCACTTGTTTTGTTGCTTATATGATTGAGAAAACTCAGGTGATGTGCGTGGTTGAGTGATAACGTCATCGCTCAAGAATTGGGAAAATTTTTGTAATGATCTGGGATTAAAAAACATTTTTATTTCAAAATGAACTCCTTTTCTGCGTTTGACGAGAAATTCTGATAATGAAAAAAATGCAACCCGCACGACTTGATATTTTAACAGACATGAAATTAAAATGTAAATTTTATATCATACTAAGGATTTCATTTAGGAGAAAAGAATTTTTTATCATTCATTAATAATAAATAAAAATTAATTTTAGATGAGTCCACTTTTTTTGCATTTAACAAATTTTCCAGGCCATGTGGGCTTAATTTAATTGATCAATTTAATTTGACACTTAAGAAAAATATATTCAATTTTCCCTAGTTTTTTGGAAAAATTTTCCTAGTATTTTATTATACAAGAAGTTAATCCTTGTATTAGCCCTACATTGCAATTAATTCTTATTGTTCCAAGGTTTTTTATTTCTTCATCTCTCATTATTAAGTTTTTTAAACGTTTTTCCTTCTGTTGGTTCATTGTCTGACAATTGGGCTTCTAATCTCCTCTTCTCATATTTCTGTAATTTCCCAGGCTCAATTATAAGTTTTCTCTCCTGACTTTAGAGCTTTGCTCTCGCTGCATTATACAAATAATACACACACTAATAACGCCATCACTAATTGCACTAATAACACAGTAAAAACAGCACTATTTGCTATACTTACGTGGTGCGCACTCGGAGAGATGTCTGAGCACGATATAGGTTAAATAACAATAAAGGGCACACCGAAGAAAATGAGCTGCCGCGTCGATGAGAGCTCCTATACTTTATTATAGAAAGAGTCCATAATGCTATGCGGGCTCGTGCTCTTTCAGCAATAATCTATTATTCCGCGACCGCTCGTATTTATTATTATTTCTTACGTAACCAATTATATGCATCCCTGAACAGAGGCGCGCGCTCTATTAAAAAATAAAACGGCCGAGAATAAATTTATATATGTGCCATTCGATTTGTGTGTTTAATTATTTCTAATGTGTGCAACCCAACAGTCGCCCACATTGCAAGGGGAAAACTGTGCCACAAAGCAAGAGAGTCATATAAAATTTATTGCTTTTGTCTCTCTCAGCGCTCTTTTGTTTGCTCTGAAGTTTTTTGTCGAGCTTTCAGAGATTTGTTTAATTATTGAAACTGAAAGTACAAAAACACCGATGCCTTGTAGAACTCATTTTCTAATAAGGCAAAATTTAATTATTGAAAGTTTCTCTTAACTCTCAACAGTGAAATAATAAATTGTTTAAAAATTTCAGATAACAGTAAGAAGAATTTTTCAAACTCGTATCAATTTCAACTGAAAATAAATTGAAATGAAATTTGAAATTCTTAGCAATATTCAGTTGGAATTATTTAAAATTGTGATTTGTAATTAAAATTTATCAATGTTTCCAGAAAAATATCAACCTTTTTTTCATAATTATTAACACAAATAAAAATAAAATTCCTTTTATTGATGTTGAATAATATGCTCAAATTTTATTTAACTCTATCAATTTATGACCAACTTTTATGCCTTTCTTTTATTTCAATTTTATACACTCCAAATAAAGGACAAAGGTTGTAAATCGCTTCACCTCAACATAATAAAATAGACTCTAACTATTAGACGAGGATAATCTAAAAACGGTTTTTTTATACACATCGGACCTCGAGACGCGGGCGGTGTATGTGTTTTGTCTTTGACTCCCTCACAAAATAATAGCAAACATGCCCGAGCTGTCTTTATAAATTTGCGGGCGAGCGCCGAAAATCACTCTTTGCGTCCAAATTACCCACATTACTCGGCACGTAGGACACGCTATTTAATAAAAAATAACTCGCCAATTTACCACCTACACCGCACGCCATCGAAAAGAGAAAATTTTAATATCGTTGCAGTGTGTTGTGCGAGGTGCTCTTTATACTTTTACCACCTACCATTCATGCGCCGCGGCGAAAAAGAACTCAGCCGTCAGAATACATTACCTGCCGGCTCGAACGACCGCGCGTCACCGTTTTTACCTGCCAATTTTTCATTTTATTAAGTCTAGCCAATTGTCATAAATCTCCCGGTAATAACACCGCTAATAATAACACTCGTATATTTACGAAAAGGCCAGACTTTTCACGGATATATTTTGTCCAAAAAAAGATGAGTTGGTGAGAAAATCCTCTCTGCTCTCGGCGCTTGAAAAAGAGAGAGGGTCGTCGGAGGAGACAAAAAGAAAACGGCGGTGCGGCGGCGAAGAAAGATGCAGACAAACAGAACAATTCATAAATCAAACCTCGCATATTTTTATTTCCCAGCAAGAAAGAGAGAGAAAAACCGACCCATCGCGACCTGCGTATATACAAGAAAAGCGTAGAACGAGAATGACGGCCCACTCTAAACGTTTACTTAAATCTATTATGTGAGCGCAGCAGCCCCCATTCGTTCAAGAAGATTGACACTGAACTGGAAATTTTATTTCTCTAACTCTAGATTGTAATGTGATTCCAAATTTTTAATAAAAAAGCCCATTTGTAAAAGCAAAACAGTTTATAATTATTTTTTAAATCATGAAGATAAAATCATATTATAAAATGAAACTTATTTTAACTTTTAATATTTCAAGAAACAATTTTTTTAATTATAATATTTTACGAATATTTTCATATATTTTTATGTCATTTTTACGATGTTTTCTGTTTTGCTTTTCATTTTAAATTTTATTAACAAATTTATAAGTCATATTCGTTCACCTATAAAGCTTAGATGATAAAAATTATTCTAATACTTAATTCTTTGGCTATTTTAAGTACACTTTCAATTATATCATCTGGTTTAATGAATAGAATGTAATTTTTAAATGCGTAACATAATCATAAAAATAAAAATTAGTCTCATTCAATTATCCTATTTCAAATTTTCTAATACCTGTATACGTATTTTGGAGTCAGTGTTGCTGCCGCAAAGAGCGTTTTGTTATATTGTCAGAGCTGCGCAATTAAGCCTCGCGCCATTTTGAGCCGTTCTGCCGACAATTGTAGAAATATCTGAATGGAAATCGCGGCACAAAAGCGCCAATAAACACAATAACATTATTACATGCACCTTTTGTTTGTCAAGAGGCAATAAGTCAGCGACGGCGCAAATTGTGCTCTCTCGGTGCGCTCGCGCGGGAACACACCTTCCTCTATATAACCATAAGGCAATAATATACACACTCCGGAGCATCAATAATTTATCCATTACCGTGACACAACACGGAATGGATTGCTGCAGGCTCCAGTGCACCATGCCTCTCTTTCGGTTGGGCCAGCTCAATGAATTAAATAATGAGCGCGCGGTGCATTCACGCGCTCATTATTTTCGCCTCGTATGGAGCAACACGTATATTCGCATCTTTCTTTTATTTATGAAGACGTTGCAATAATTCAAGTGCCGAGCGCGCGTGTGTGTTGTTATTACGCGCCGCCGCGATTAAGCCCCCGCGCGCAAATTTCCTCCTCTTGTTTTTTACGATGCGGTTTGCGATTCCCGGAGACAATTTCGAATGGCTTCTTTTCTCGCCAATGAATTAAATTAAGTGCGTGCGACATCGTAAAAATATATGTTCGCCTTGTGATAAAAAGTAATAAACGCCGGCTGCTTCCTTTCTAAATAAATTAAATATACATTCGCGCGCAATGGATATTACTTTGACACTTGCATTGCTCCAATGGTCGTAAAATTTGCCTCAAATGAGAAGAGTTTAAGATTATGTATGCGATCTCATTACTCATTATAATTGAAAAAATTATTTTTAAATATAGAGAGGAGTGATTTATAAAACCAAATAATAAGTTTCTTTATTGAAATGCAGATGAAATAAATTTCCTTTAAAAAATATTATTCCCTATAAAAATTGACATTTAATTAATAAAAACTATATAACATATTGACAATCTTTCTTATTGTACATTTCAAAAATGAACAAATTTCTTATTTCCAAATTGATATAAAGAATATTAAATTTAGTTTCATTTATTGCGTTTGTTTTAAAAGATTAAAATGTTTATTGCTATTTTCCAGCAAAAATAAAATTGATAAAGTCATAACTTTTTACCAATTTGTGCTCAATATTTTTCTCATGCATATGGCTTAATCATAATATCTTTCTAAATAAGTCAGACTTGACGTGTCTTACAACTCAATTTGCATAATTTATTGCACTTTGTTTTATTAATTTATTACTCAATCTTCTAAACGCCTCTGGAGTTTTGATCTAATGTCACTCTAGCAGTAGCACATTTTTTTAATTCCATCAAATCAAGATTCGCACCGGAGAAATTTCGGCCAAGGCGGTTTCACAATCGAGAGCGGCTCTCTCATATTTTTTTTTTTCACTGAAACTATCACAATTTGCGTTTTGCCCTTCAGCAGTCAAATGGTTCACCGCGCGGCGGTCGGGTCCTGCTCTTTTTAACTGCCGGGCGATGTTCCTTTATTATTATACGAGAGAGTCAGTTTCGCGTGTTGTGTATGGGAAAAGCTGCCGAGGTGCACACACATCATTAAAATGTGAGTGATTCTCTTTTAGGCGCATCAGAGTCGTATAATAAATTGAAGGTTATAACAAGAAAATAATAACTATCTCCGGTGGTCCCTTATGATTTAAAATATATTTGGCCCAGGTCAAAGGGTTACTTGCATGGCCTGCCATTTTACGGCCGCGCGCTCTGATACACAAAACAAATTAAGTGTGCTGATGAGAGTTTCGACCATCCACACAAAAAATTGCGGCATATGCCGGTGCTTTATGATAGGGTCGGAAAAGAAAGCAACGTAGACAAGCCGACGCTATCCATTAATACGTTTTTATTTTATCAAAAGATATGATTATCATAAAAAAAAATTATAAAAATATTAATATCATTGTCTAAATTAACAAGTTGCATTGAAAAAAATCTGGTTTCAGTCATTAATGGTCAGGAACTGCTTTTGAAGGTTTGAAAATTTTCCAATTATTTGCGATTTTAACGTAAATATCTTTTTATTTTAGGCGTTTATTAGAAATTATTTACCAAATTCTTAATAACTTGATATTATGCTTGATCCTGACGCGAGCGAGCTTAATAATATTTGTCCAAAGCATTAACCTCTCGCCAAACGCAGACGTCATAAGCTAGAATACCCAACACACGCCAGTCGTCACCAGGGGAATTCCTCTTTCTCTTGACTTTTGAGATATACCATAGAAATTTCTGCTCTCTTTGCGATTTTTTCTGCAAATTTGACCAGGCACCTCGCGCGCACTATGCGCCTATTAAAACAAATCCACTGACGACTGTGTTTTGAAATTTGCGTCAAAGCTGGGCCTCTTTTTAGCTGCACAAAAAATATTGTATAAAAGTAGCTCGGCGGCGGCTCTTGGCTTTGCTCTCGTCAAACAGAAGGAATGTGTGACAATGGGTTGGCCCGTCTCGGGAAAAGGGTCGCACGCATCTCGACCGCAATACCTGGAAAATAACATTAAAATAATTTTTCAAATTGACGTCCGCGTTTCTTCGACGAGAGATCTCTATTGTCGCCGCTGACGAGCAAGGGGCAATTAAGCCGCAACGGCGAATCATTATGCTCATATTTGCTCTTGTTTTAAACCGTATGGGTTATACTTGCATGCTGCTGGAAAGGAAAATATTTGAGCCGTGCACACAGATAGCGCAAAACAGTTGTTCCCCAAAACTAATGAGGCAAATTAAAATATAAAGCAGAGAAGGATATTAAATATGTGGGGGTAATTAATTTTTTATGACGTTTGAGCAAGAAAACATACGTGAAAAGTGCCTCTCTTATGAGATGGTTGATGAGAGAGGGGATAAACACCAAACGGAAGCTGAATATTATTCCATTATTTTACACCGAGGCATTTTGTTTCAAATCATCCGCCAAGAGTCAGTTTCTTTCTCTCGGCAGTAGTTGTCCGCGAGTTGTGCGCCGCAGATGCTCCCTTGTCTTGAGTAGTGCGATAGGATTTACACGCGATGCTGCGCCGGTTAATAGAAACATCATCAGGTGAACTGCTGCTGCAATTATCGATAGCCTTGTGTGGATCACTCTCGGCTAATTAGAAACGAAAAATTAACCTGAAGGTTTTCACGACTGTCTGTGCAATTATGTGCCCGAAAATTAATTAACAGTATTCAGAGGTCAGCCAACTAGGAGTTCGTTAGAAACAATTTTTTTTTTACAATTTGATACTGAAATATGTAATTTTTAAACTATTTTGTATTTTATATATTATATGTACATACCATGTACCAGTGTAAAAATATTTTTATAATTATTATTTTAAAGTTAATGATTAATAAAATTCACATATGATTTTAAAATGAAATATACATTGAGTTTTATAAAAACCTATAAGTGCGCCGGAAGCTTTTAATAATCAAAATAATTTAAAATACATAAATTTTTCTATTTGATTAAAAGGTCATTGGAACGAATTTTAACTTTCTTATTAATTTGTCTTCAGGTACAAACGGAGAACGATGGAGGACAGCGAGTGGCCTTCTGGCTCTGCTTCTGCTGGTCCAAACTTGCAGTTCGAACCCAGCGAGACCGCGGCCGGCGCGACCGCAGCCCGACGCGTCCGACGATACCTTGCTGACGGGCAGCGTGGAGAACACGACGGCCGACCAGAAGGTGCCGCGCAAACTGCAGAAACCCAACAGGGACAACTTGTGGTGGGCCAACCCATGTGGTGTGAGCGGCGGTGGCGAGTTGCACACGCCGAAATTCACCTCTTCCGAAGAGGTGGAGATCTTCGAGATGAAGAACGAACCCAACAGCATCACAGAGTCTTGGGTCACTCAGCTGCGGAGCACCGTCATCCACATCAAAAAGATCGAGGAGCGCTACAGAGATGTAAGTTAATTTTGCCGCAATTTGCGTCCACGCAAAAACTAACGCCTAATTATACTGTCTTGCTCTCACACAACATTTCCTTTTGAAAGAGAAAATTGGTCACTTTCTGTATGTAATTGACTGCTGCTCTGCTAAGAGTGCTGGTTGGATTATTTAAACACGGGATTTTGCGTGGAGTATATTTTGTTTTAAACCAAATTTAAAGGCTTCAGACCTTTTTTCCTTTTAAAATTTCAATACTTATATTAATAACGCTTCCCTAAATTTTAAAATTAGTTCTGGTGAATCGGGTTCGCAAATAAATATAGCTGCTTCTAAATCTATACATTACAAAATGGCATGCTGGAATTTCTAATCTTAACTTTTTTGGGCTATGTCACTTTCAGAAGCATCCTTTATCAGACAAAGATTTGCTTCAACTGATCAGAAGTTTTCAAGAGGAACTTATGATCGACGTTGGAGAGGTACTTTTTCTTCTAGTACACGCATGCTATATACTATGCTCTTTTTCTTTGCATTTCATTTAACGAATTGCTAAAATAATCAAATTAATTGAAGACTGGCTTGCTTGCTAATTATTTTAAGTCAATTAAAGATTAAAGCAATTAAATCAAGCATTTGTACCATTTATATTGAAATCAGTAAAATAAAACTTTTTGTCCTTTATTTTCCAGATCCAACATTTTGCGGAAGAAGATTTTGAGTTTACTTGGCTTCCAGAGGTTTCAAAAGATTACAATCAAACCAAGCAAAAGGTAAATTGCCTCAAATAAATTTTAAATATATTAACATTTTTGGCACATTCTTTAATTTATTTCTTTAAAAAATAGTGTGATTTAATTTTTTTCAGTTTTAAAATATCATATTTTTATGTTTCAGATGTTTCAGACTGTTCGAGTTGCAAATCAGTTGTACAAAGGCCTGCAGAGGTTTGCAGTCACCATCGAGTGCATGATGGGCCACAGTGGCTGCAAGCAAATCATCAAAAGTCTGAAAAAGAAGAGGAAGAACATCATCAAAGAGTTGCAAGATCAAAAGCCAAATCAGAAGATTTCTTCGACCAGGATGGCGATGCTTAAAGAAATCAAGCACCAACTGAGACTGGTAAGTTGAATTAAATATTCACACTTATTAATTTCTTTTATTAATTTTTAATTTATTCAATATCACAAAAGTATGAAAACTAATTTTTGTTTTATAGTTGCTGTGTGAAGTTCAAACGTTTTTGAGAGGCGTCAAGAATGGAAAAAAGCTGCCATCTCCACCAATGATCAGCATCATCAATGAAAAGGAGTTAAAGGATTCGCCAGACGAGACGGAGCAACTGGTCCTAGACCTGGGCATCATCTTTAAGTACAAGAGGTACTTGGGCGAGTGGGAGAAGATCATCAAAAACCTTTTGAAGAATGTTGAACCTGCCATCAGGAAGAAGCGAAAATCAAATAAGAAAAATCAGCAAGAAAAGGGAGAGACTCCCGAGGGCCAGCAGAGGCCAAGGGCGGGCAGAAGATTAGGCGGCCGGGGTGGTCAGCGGAGACAAAAGAAACAGGGCCAGAAACCTAAGACAACAACGCCAGCACCTTGAAGAGAAAAATCACTGCCATTCCAAACCACAAGTTACATATCATGATAGTAATTTATTCAGATGCATTTTGATTATATTTTAGACTGCGCCGAGCAAGACAATATTTGAAAACAAACTTGGAGCGACTACTTTTTAATGATCGTTCTGTAAATATTGGAAGGAGCTCCAATTTTGTGATACTTGTTGCATTCCAAAGCTTGAAAGGGGCTGGAGAAATATGTTTAGTTAGATGATTTTTTTAGACTGAAAAGTTGTGTGTAATTTATTTATGGAGAAATTCAGCCTCAAAATAATTTGCTTGAATTAATTTTTGGCTGAAGTGTTATGATTTACGCTTTGCAATGGTGAAAGTGATTGAATGCTCAATTTACAAATTGTTTAAAAAAAAATTCTCATAATTTAATAAATCTTTTTGTAATTTGAGTATTTTATCATTTGACACTGCAACTTAACCGTAATTGTGATACAATTTAATTGATCATAAATATTTTGGCACCAATTAAGAAATTATTTGACTGCCAAAATATTTCAACTAGTTTTTACAATCATGTAAAATCCACTGTGTGGATATTCCTAAATGTATAGATGATAGGTTGTTATTAATTTATTATACCTCATTATTAGTGTTAATAATTTATTTGAAACTATGTAAATACTTAATAACTTTTAATTTTCCTACATCACTATATTTCTGTATTGCTCAAACTTCATCTGTCATTAAATCTTTTAATCGAACTATTTATTGTTGATCATATTTACAATTAGATGACTTGAAAGTTTTTAAAACAACTTATCCTTGTGCCTTATAAAGTTATAAATTATCTTAATGGAACAGTTATAGCAATTTAAGATTGGTAAAAATATTTAATTGAACCTACAAATGGCATTGATTTTTCTAATCAACTATGGATAATTCCTTATGCATAACTGAACACACCTATGAACTTTTGTACTTGACCTCTTTGTACTGTACTTTCCGAGCAGTGGATTAAAAGAAACAAGACTGCAAATAATAACTCCTTTTGTAGTATTTATTTCCAAAAAAAAAAATAGACCTGATTTGAATCTCTAATGGTTGAAGTAAAATCAAAACAGATTTTTTTTCATTCACGCTTTATATTATTGGCCTTTATTAAAATTCAGCTGTGCTTGAAACACACAATGAAGTTGCAATAATAATAAAGTTATTGAATACTTAAAAAAATATTGCAACAAGAATGCATTAATCATAATGTGCATTAAATTTAAAAAGAAAAATGCATATAAATACATGGAGGTTTGATAGATTTAAAATGGTACGACTGGCTCGGCTAAATTAAATTTAAAAAGGGAAAAAGAGCACTTCAGCACATAGTCTTAGCTCAATTAAGCACACAATCATGAACATTTGCTGCTGAGAACAGCCGCTGCGGCCTTATTGATTGTCTTGATGGCAGATTCCATTTCTATTTTAGTGAGTAAGGCGTTCACGGTGATGCGAATGCTTGGTTCGGGCAGTTTCTTTTCTTGATCAGTCAAATAGGCAGCAGTGGTCAAAGCTAGATTAGCCTCCTCACACTAAAATAATACAAATAAATTAAACTAGTGAGTTTTAAAAAGGATTGAACATAACTTGCAGACATTAAAGATTTTATTTGAAAGTACAAAATCTTATTATTCATTTTTCTAAATAAAAATAAAGCAGGTAAAAAAATTACCTGCATCACGATATCATTCAAGATTTCCTCGTCTTTGGTTTTGTCTCCTGATGGAATTGCAAGTCGGATGTGTTTCACAACTGATTCTGGATGGGCGAAGACTCGAAGCTCTGATATTAACAGGCTGTTCAGTTTTTCGTGCATGAATATGCAGTTGCTTTTCAGTGTCTGGAATATCGAAGGATCTTTTTTCATGATGTCCAAGGAGGTGATCGCTGCTGCCATCATGAGCGGAGGTGCCGAGGCCGAAAAACAGTACCCTGGATTTGAAAATTATCAAATTTGACTTCAATTTACATTCAATTAAAGATACCAAGTCCAGAAAGGCGCTGGTGTTCAATGATGAAATGAGAACCGACACAAAAGCCACCAATGGACCCAACTGCATACTCAAGACTTCCGGAAATCATGTCCAGCTCAGCAGGGTCAATGTTGTAGTACTCGGTGATACCGTGACCATTTTTGCCAATAGTGCCAAATGAAACAGATTCGTCCAGGAAGAAACGAAGTTTGTATTTTTCTCTCAGTTCCAGCAACCTAGGCAGAGGGGCCATTTCTCCAGTATTCATGTAAATTCCTTCGGCGACCAAAAAGCGCCTAGTCCTCTTGGCTCTTTTTGGATTCTAAAGAATTATACAAAAAATTAGCCAAAGGAAATAAGAAAATTGGCGAATTCATACCTTTCTGTCCAAATCAGCCTGCTCCATCAAGATCCGTTCCAAATCTTCCACGTCATTGTGCTTGAAAAAGAAAATTCTACTGCGCGATGCATCCAGACCCTTTTGAATGGCAAAATTCACCATTTCGTCGCTACAAAATTAAAAATATTCTAATTGTTTGATTGAAAATTCCAAATTAAACATACACAAAAATGACATCTGAGCGCTTTGAATAAGCAGGAATCGCACTAGCAATGGTTGAAAATCCGTAGGAATAAACAACGGCTTCTTCACACCCCATGTACTCGGCAAGTTTGTCTTCCAGGTCCAGATGAACCTCTGCAACAATCATTATTTCTGATTTTGTGGGGGGGAAAAAATCAGCAACAACTAACCAGTAGTGCCATAAAACCCTCTAGGACCACAAGAACCAACACCGTAGTGAGAGAGACACTTGAGAGCAGCTTCCTCAATTTTTGGATTTTCAATAAGGCCGAGATAATTGTGCGTGGCTAAATTCAAACACTGTCTGTCTCCAAGCTGAATGTACTTTCCAACCTAAAAAAGTTGCTTGTAATTAGAATTGTTTGTAAAGGTAAGGAAATGTTTACTTTGCTGGAGACGATCCTAGGGTGGAGTGCCCTGCTGGAAACAGGCGTAACTGGGACAAGCGGCTCTGGCATCCACTCATCGATGAGTTCTTGCTCTTCCTGCGATAATGAATGGGTAAATAATTACAGCAAACAAAACACATATTATGTAACAATAAATATTGCAAGATATTCATAAAATTGAAAACCTTTTTGGTCAGTTTTTGTTTGTCAGTCAGACTGTAGCTCTTCATGAAGAGCAGCCACATAAGCCACACGATGAGACCCGCCTCGAACACCAAGTGATAAACAGGTGCCTGCAGCAAAAGAATTAAAATAAACACCCAAGTAATTTTTCCATCCAACAAACTTACATGTTGCAGCGCTTTGATGGATTCGAAGAGGCCGTGGAACATGTCCAGGGGCACCATTGCGACGGTGACCCGTTGGATCGCGTGAGATGAGGCACCTGATTAAATCTTTGGTGATTACGACGGCTATGTGAGTCAGCTCAGGCGGCCAGAGATAAGCAAAATTGCGGAATTTACACCGACGAGTGCATGCCGGCCGCAGCCACCGGATGGACACGCCCTCTTTTGACTGATAACAACGTGGTGGCGGCGCTGCTGTCGAAAAGTCAGGTGCTTCTGACAACCACGCCCCCCTAATGCGAATAACCCTTTTGAAGCACGCACGGTGCCTAATTTGTCGGCTTTTAAATTAGTGTCAAGTGCAAATTAGACAGATAAATGCATCTGGTGAAGTGCGAGTCTTATCTATAACAGGTGTAGACGTGTGCGAACATGTACGACGTCGTCATCGTCGGTGCTGGGGCTGCGGGGGTGGCAGCCGGCACCAGGCTCCTCAGGGGTGGAGTTTCAAATTTCGGTAAATTATTAAAAGAAAAAATTTATGCCGAAATGATTTGTTTTCTTTATTTAAATTTTACTGTAATTTCAAGCAAAAAATATTTTTTTTATGATATTTAGCTTAATTTTTTTTTAAATCATGTAATAAAATGTAGAACACTTTCTATGTAATTCTAATTAATTTTTCTAGTAATTTTGGAAGCTGAGAATAGAATTGGTGGTCGAGTTAACTCTGCTCAATTTGGTGAGGAAAATACTTTTTAATATTTTATTTTACATAGTTATTAATATTTTTACTTCCAGATGGATGCACCGTTGACATGGGTGCCCAGTGGGTGCACGGTGAACAAAATAACGTTGTTTATGAAATGGCCAGCCACCGATTGTCAGTGGACGAGCAAATGAACAACTACGCTTCCGCAGAGGCATTTCTGGAAAATGGTGAAAAATTTAACATGGATATTGTGTTTCTCTTGTACTCCTGGATTGGTGAAATCGAGGCCACTATGCCTATCAAGCTTAAAAACTTTTCCGGTTCTTTGGGAGATTTTTACAATCAAGAGTAATTTTATTTTGATCTCTTTTATGTGCCATTTTGAACATCACATATTCTCTTTTTAAGGTTGGCAAAAAGAATCAAAGAATACCCAGAGCCGATCGCAGAGAACGACGTTCGCGCTTTCATGGAGTGGTTCGAGAAGTTTGAGAATTCAATCGACGGTTCTGACTCGTGGTTCGAGACTTCAGGAAAAGGTCACTTGGCCTATGTTGATTGTCCGGGTGAACTTCTGAACAAATGGAATTCAGGGGGATATCTCTCTGCCATCAAAATGCTTATAGTGAGATTCACTGTTTTTAACTTATTTATTTATTTTAATTAATTTTATTTAACTGGAAAATAAATTATTATTCAATTATTTCAGGAGCAAACAAAACAAGAAGAAACTTTTGAGAAAAAAATTGTACTGAGCTGCGAAGTTGAGAGCATCGATTTCTCCAAAATGCCTGTCAAAGTGAAATGCAAAGGAGGCGCGGTATACGAGGCTACGTCTGTCATCGTAACTGTATCTCTGGGTGTGCTGAAAGAACAAGCACAAAGTTTGTTCACTCCTAGCTTGCCACAGTACAAGATGAACGCAATTAAGGTATATTTGATCAAATAAATTCCAGAGTACTTTTGAAATTGGTGTGATTATTTACACAGGGTCTCGCAATTGGCTGTGTAAATAAAATTTATTTGAGTTTCCCCCACAAGTGGTGGCACGACAAAGCACCAGGCTTCTGCTTTTTTTGGAGCAATGCTGATGACGACCTACCTCTGCACAAGGTAAATAATAGAACCACAAAATTTTGTGCCGTGTTCATACAATTTTACTCTTAGAAATGGCATCGTGGTGTTTTTGGTTTCTTCCCCGTTTCAAGTGCTCCCAATGTCCTCTGTGGTTGGATGATTGGTGAAATGGCCCGATATGCTGAAACCTTGCCAGACGAAGAGGTGCAAAATGGATGCATGGAGCTGCTGCAAAGATATCTTGGAAAACAGTATGCAGTGGTAGACTGCACTGGAATCAAAAGGTTTAATAATCTTTAAAAATCATAATCAAAATGGTAACAAATTAATATAGGTCGACCTGGTACTCAAATCCACATTTTCGAGGCAGCTACTCATTCCGTAGCATGGATACGGAATTACTCGATACTGCAGCTATTCACCTGGCAACTCCATTATCTGATGCCAACGGAAATGCTGTAATTATTTTAAAATTCTAATGACATTTGATGATTGACTGGCTGAAATGTAGATTGTCCAATTTGCTGGAGAAGCTTCGCATCCAGGTTATTTTTCAACAGTTCATGGAGCAATCGAGTCTGGCTGGAGAGAAGCTGATCGCATTTTAGCCAGACCTCGGTAAACTTGTGAGAAAAAATAATTAAATCTAATAAAGTTTTATTATCAAAGACCTATGCTTGACTTTGGTCCGACACAACTCTTTGATGTTATAATTGTTGGTGCTGGAATGGCCGGCTTAGGAGCAGCTAGGACTTTATACAAAGCAGGATTAAAGAATTTTGCAATTATAGAAGGTACCAATTAAAAATAAAATAAATGATATTTTTAAATTTATTTAAATATTTGCATTCTAGCTCAAAATTATGCTGGTGGCAGAGCCTGCACTGTCCGCTGGGGTGATGGTTCCACCTTTGTAGAAAAAGGTGCGCAATGGATCCATGGTGAACATGGAAACCCACTTCTCAAAATTGCAAGAGAGCACAATCTATTGAATAACATAGTCTCATTTGAGGGCCTAGGTAATTTTGAAATAACAAAAATTTGGTAGTAATAATTTTAAAACTGCTTGCAGGTCCTTATTTACTCGAAAATGGGGATAAACTTGATTTAGCCATTGTTCGAGAAGCAGCTGAGGAGGTACAAAAAATTTTGGTTAATTGTGAGCGATTTTCAGAGGATGAGGGACAAGACTATCCACCTTCCGTTGGCCATTATCTGCGTCAAAAGTTTTACGAGTACATTGACAGGACATCGACTTCAGAGGAAGATCGAATAATCAAAGAGCAGCTGCTTGACTGGCATTTGCGGTTTCAAATTATTGACAATTCTTGCCGTATTCTGGACGAGCTTTCTGCTAAGTCCTGGGGTGACTACGACAGCTTCCCTGGAACGGACTGCAATAATTTGAAAAATGGCTATTCATCTCTGGTTGATGCTATAGTCTCCGAACTGCCCAAGGAGAGTCTTTACCTTTCTCACCCTGTCAACACTATTGTTTATCAAACAAACTTGACAAGAGAAAACATCAATACCACTGTCGCTGGTCAAAGTAAGATGAACAAAAATTGGATTCCACCTGTGATTGTCACCTGTGAAAATGGAGCAAGATTCGGAGCTCAGTTTGTGATAGTAACTTGCTCATTGGGTGTTTTGAAAAGCTGCCATAAAAATTTATTCCTTCCTGCTCTGCCAGATAATCTGAGCCAGGTATATAATTGTCCTTCTTTTCAATTCTAAATCATACATTTTTTTGCAGACAATCCAAAATCTTGGTTATGAAAATATAACCAAAATATATCTTGAATACGAAGAAAAGTGGTGGAGGGAAGACGAAAAAGGTTTTCAATTGCTTTGGTCCCGAGATTCAATGGTTTTGCCAGGAGTATAAATACTACAGTTTTAAAAAAAATGTTTTACTAAAAATAAAATCTCAATCAGGAAGCAGCTTGGTGCAAGGACATGACAGGATTTGACATAATGCCAAGCAACTATGGCAACGTCATCCTGGGTTGGGTTGGTTCCGAGAGCGCCAAGTTAGTAGAAACTTTGCCGGAAGATCAAATTGGAATGGACTGCACTAAAGTCTTAAGAAAATTTCTTAATAGAAACGTCCCAGTCCCAAAGAGAGTATTCAGGTTTGTATTTTGAAAGTCGTTCTATAAGAATAATTTATTTAATTACCAACTTCTAGGACACAATGGTTCTGCAATCCCTATGTTAAAGGGGCCTACAGTTTTTCGGCAGATCGATGTGACGAGTCTGGAACAAAGCCGAGTGATTTGCTAAAACCTGTTACTGCTTCATTTGCTGAGCTGAATTTGGAGGTAGGATATTTCTGTAATTTTGCTCCCATTTATTTTGATGTCATTCACATTTAGATACCAATCGTCCTCTTGGCTGGTGAGGCGGCTCATGACTGCCATTTTTCAACAACTCATGGTGCTTTCGAAACTGGAGAGATGCAAGGAAACAAAATTCTGAGTCATATCAACATTTCACAACCTCAAACTCAAATGATTTCTAAATATTAGCGTGAATATTTCCATTGCCAATCATTATTACTGCTTCATCACCTAGTCTGTGTCAATCAAATTTTACAAAATCAGTATCTTGTGATTTTAGATATTTCCTTTTTTTAATACTGCAGATTTAAAAACCTTAAAATTTTTTAATGGTGCACATTTTATGTATTTGCTACATTTGAAATAAAAGATATAAAGGCAAAATTTAAAAATTTTTGGAGATTTTTATTTTACTATAGTTGTCATCTTGGCAATAAATGTCAAAATTTAATGTTTATCATTAAAGCTATTTTATTTTCTAACGGCTGTGTGCAACACGAACAGTCGCTTAACATCTGTTAATAAAAACATCGGGAGGAATTGCTCTCGAAGCGTGTTTTTTTTTTAAATAAATAAGAGGAGTAACAATTTGATTACTGAGACATAACCTTCTGCTGCTGCTGTTGTTGCTGCCTAACATGTTGGGCCCTGATTCGTCTTTGGACAAGGTGGCACCTGAGAGAAACTGGATTGGCTCGAAGATTTTTCAGATCTCCACGAGTTGGATTCAGTACAATAGATGGGTTCATTTTTGACAAGGCTTCATCCACTCTAGTCTGCAAACTTTGCAAGCTGTTTTCTACAAAAGGCATTGTCACATCTTCAATTGTGTCTGTTGATGACGGCGGCTCGGGCAATTCCTGAACCCAAAGTTAAGTTAGCATTTTTTATTTTAAATTATCTTCGATAATACCTCCAACATAATGTTGAGTGAAAAGTCGGAAATGTCAGTTCCTTTCATGTTATTCTCTAGTCTTCTTAAGACATCCTCCATAATAACATAAACCTCTTCATATGTCCAATATGAAAATATTTTCACCTGTCTATTATTTGTCTGAAATTTAAAGATTTAAAAGTTTTAGAGTTGAGATCGGTAAATAGAACATCAAGGCTAGCATACCATTTGTGGAGGATAAGCAGAGTTTAGTCTGCCTGCATGATAAGCATCCAATGCAAAGTCTAAATTAAATCTGCACAGCCTGTGCACAACTGCCCTTGTTGTAATCTTGTCGAGACATTGAGGGAAGTCCCTCATTTCTTTCCACATCTGCAGCACCAGATCAACGTCGTTGCTGTTCAGTAGCCGCACCATAAGAGAGTTTGTGTTTTTGGGGAGCTCTGTTAATTTAAAAACGATTAAAAATTGCTTAAATAACAAGCTGTTTAAATTTACCCTTTGATAGGTTGTTAGTTTGGCAAAACTTTAACTTGGTTTCTCTGGCGTGAGTCCATAGAACAAGGGATTCTTTGTATCTGTGCTCATTGACAAAGTTTTGTATCAGCAGCTCCAGCACATCTAGTAAGTCTTTAGACCCTCTGTGGCCCGTCGTCTGATTAAATCCTGAATTTTTGAAGGATTTTAAATTTTGACACAATTAAATATACACAGGTGCTAACTTTTAAGCAGTTCAAAAGCCTCAGCTGCTTGGCCCATTCTGAAGCACATTTTGCAGCTTTTAAGGAGAATTTGTTCTAGTGTGATTGGGTTGTCTCTGTAAGAGGTAACGTTCTCCCAACTAAGTTGTGACATAGTTTTCACAGTCAAATAAACAGCGAGTGCGTCGTTCATTAAATCTTGGTCAACCAAGTCCAGCAGAATGTTGATTCCAACAGTCCCCAAGAGAATGTGGAATTTTTGAACCAGAGCAGCTTGTGTATTGCTTTTAGCTGTTAGATTTGAGATTAATATCAATTATTAATTGAGATATTACAAAATTTTACCATTCGCAGCTGTAGAAATTTTGAGAAATCCTTGACTAGGTCTTAACATCTTTTCTTTCAAAACACTGTACAAAATTCGCCCTCTAGGCAATTTGTCACCTGGATGTCGAAGCACAATGGAAGTGATTCGTGACAAATCATTTGACTCAGCTGCTCTCAACATTCGGGCGTACAGATCTTTAATCAATTCCTAAAAATAAATATATAATTAAATAAATAAAAAGGAATGATAAAAACACAATTTTTAAGCTTACAGGTTTGTCATGGCCAAAGCACAGCTTGGTGACTGTCTCGGGATTGTATTCCAGGTCAATTGGATCGTCAAGTTCATCGTCCGCTTTTTCAGTGGGACTGTATGGCCTGTTCAATTCATTGGGGTCCACTCCAGTCATTAGCAAAGACGGTGGCAGGGGAGGTGGAATAAGAGACACAGGAGGGGGTGGTGGTGGAGCTGCTGGAGCTTCTGGTGGAGGCAAGGGAGGATTGAGAGGAGGCAAAGGAGGATTTTGTGCAGGAAGTGGTGGCTGCACCACCACTTGCATTGGAGGGGGAGGGAGTTGCACTGGCTTTGAAGGTTTAGGGGCTGAAAATGTTTGAGTGGCTGAAGGTGGCGTTCGCCCTGATTTTGAGTAAAGAGAAACCCTTTCGGCTTCTCCGCAAAGCAGTGCCAAGTCTTGGATGACTCCCTAAATCAGAATTAATATTAATGCCTCTACATTTTCAGGGGAAATTAAAAACTTTACGTGTTTGAAGCAGCGCCACACTGTCTCCGAAACATTGGCAATCAGAATCTCCAAGGCCAACGTTACCCAGGGCTGTTCTTTGTTCAGCAGAACATGTTCGATGAGAATTTCCACAATGCTCTTGTGAGCAACAAAGTTTCTATCTTTGAACAACTGGTTGAGGACGTCGGGCAGATGCTGGAACGTTCGGATGCTGAGGCGGGCAATGTCATTCCTCAGCATCAGGGTGCAACACCTGTGGTTCATCACATAAACTAACACCCGCTTGACTTCAAAGGCGTTTTCCACTTCAATGACGTCAGAGAGCTGCAGCAACGCTTCTATCAGTCTGTTCCACCAGTAAGAGCCGAGTTCATCTTCACGGAACATAACTTCATAACACAGGCACAAGAGAAGGCGTGGTTCCCTAGACCGGACTAATTTTTTCAATAATTCCTCGAAGCAAGTTTGATAGTAGGCGACGAACTGCTTCTGGCGAATGGACAAGAAGCACTCCAAAGCTTTGGTGCTGCTCAACTGATGCATGTTCGAGCTCATTGGAACCAGCTGTTAAGATTTAAATGAAATACAAATTTAACATTACAGGAAATGCGCGTACCTCGTGCAACTGAGGACACCTTGGAACTTTGCAGCCTGGTGGACCTTTCATTTCTCTAATGCATCGGTTTATAAGAAACTCAGGTATGCAGTATTCATCTCTTATTTTGTTCCAGAATCCAACTTCAACTGCAATATATATTGTAATCATTACATTAATTTGTCTTTTTTCAAAATTTTTTATACCTGAGGTGTCCCTATAATGAGCAGGCAAGTGGTGGCCACTAATGTGTCTATCAAAGTCCTGCAAAAATGATATTTGGATCATTTTTTTCATTGAAAAAAATAAATAATAATATAATATTTAACATACTTGTACTTCAAGATTTGTTGCACTCCAAGCATTGACCTTCGATGGAGGCGGTACAGGTGCGAGTACCGCTGGTGGAGGCACTGGTTGAGGAACATTGAAGGCAGTTGGCGAGTTGTATGGGAATCCAGGACCATTTCCAACAGCTGGACTTCCTGAAGCGTCGCTTCCTATTTGTGGAGGGGTTGCAGAATGCATGGGGAAGATTGAGTGCCTTGGTGAATTTTGGGTCAATGGTGAGCTATTCGGATGCTGTATTGAAAATTTTGAAAAATTTATCATGTAGTTTTTAAATATTATTTTTAAACATACTGGAACTGGAAGCGGAACTGCGTTTTGGGCAATTTGCATGATGAACGGGGTTGACCGCAATCTCTCGTCAAGTGAAATATTTCCCGGAGTTTGGCTGAATCAAATCATATTTAAATATTTAATAAAAAACAAATCAAAAACTTTTTAAATTACCCTCCAGGCTGTAGAGTACTGGGGGCAAGGAATGAACTTCCCGTTTTCACAATACTGTTCAGGTCTAACTCATCCTGTGTGGGAGTGGGAGGAGCGTCCGGGGAATTTATCGGAGGTGTGTAAGACAATGGCTCATTATCAATATTATCACCATCAGGTGGAATGTGGTGACTGGATTTTGAAGGGCTTCTCCTGTGCCGCGAACTCAAACTTGAAGCTTTCCTATCTTCAATCCTTTGAGCAACAGCCTGGCTCGTTTCCTCATTTGCTAATGATTGTTTGGCTCCATTTGTCATCGACCCTTCATGGAGTCTATGCTCCCTGCGCATGTGGGCCTCTTGGTGCTTTCTCTCCGAATGGCCCAGTTTGCTAAGCGGCTTTGGAGTGTACTTCCTATTCTTGTAGTCGTTCATGGAAATCTTCTGCTTTAGTCTCTCTGCGTCTTTGCGCTTTTCCAAGTCAATCTTGTTGGCCTTCCTGTCAGCCTCGGACTTTTGCATTTCACGTTGGAAACGCACAAGGTCTCCAGTGGCCACGGGCGGGTTTCGAGACCATCTTGCCAGGATAATTGGAGCCTCTCGGATCTGCTGTCTGGCCAAAAGCATGAGGTCTTCTACCGAGGGCCCGCTGTAGTTTCTCAAGCAGCTCAGAGGATCTGTCTGCGCTGACCTCTCCACTGTGATTGCCTGGAAATAATTGTATAATAATTATGATCAATCTCAAATTCACTTCTATGGATTCAAATTTTTACCTTTCTTTCAACTCGAGGCATCTTTTGGACGATAATTTTCTTTTCAAACCTCCGTGGGTCTTGTGGTGGTGTGGGAAGGATTGAAAATTCTTTAGTTTCCTTTGGTTTAACAGGTTCGGCTCGTTTTGGAATCTTGAAAGATGGTGTTTGCAAGGGCTTTGGAATTTCTACATTTTGCTTTGCATCACTACTCTTCTCTGCCTTGTTTTGCTTCTTGTTTTTCTCTCTTTCCTTTTCCCTCAGCTCTTTTTCTTTTTCTCTGAACTCTTTCTCCTTTTCTTTTACTTCCTTCTCCTTCTCTTTGTCTCGTTGCTCCCTCTCTTTCTGCCTCTTTTCCTTGCGCTCCTTTTCCTTTCTTTCCTCCGACCTGGAATCGCTCCTCTCCAGAGATACATCCTTCTCTTTCTTCTCCTTGACTTGCTCTTCATTTCTAGAATCACTCCTTGACAGCGACTTTTCTTGGTCAGCCTTTTCTTTTGCCCTTTCATCTCCTCTTGAAATGCTACTGTCTCTGGACCGCTCTCCTTCCGATGGTACTTCCTCCACTGGCTCAGGGGTCTCAATCTTCCTCTTCTCGCTTTTTGATTTCTCCTTTTCAGTCTCAACCTTCTTTGACGTTTTCACCAATTTGGTATCGGTGTCCGACTCATCACCGGACGACAGCAGACGGATCCTCTTTTTCTTCTTTTCCTTGTCCTTCCCCTCTACCTTGCGCTTTTTAAGCTCCTCATCCTTCTTCTGCTGCTTGGCTTCGTCCTTCCACATTTCCTCTTTGGCCAAAACCATGTCTAGCATTTCGTTTCTGTTGACCTTCACCTTTGGAGAAGTGTAATTCTGTGGTGGGCTGCTTTCCTTCTTCTTTAGCTTGCACGCCTCTTTGATCTGGGCTTCCGTCAGCTGCTGCAGTTTGACTATGCATGGAAGAGTGGTCAGCTGGTCAAGACAAGTGTCCATATCTTGAGCTGAATAGATATGCTTTTGCCTCAACATGATCCGAACAGCGTCCACCAACCACTGAGCAGGTGTTCCATGTTCCACAAGTCGCACCCCTGCCCTCACAGCAGCAGGTTTTGGATAAACAGGTGGTTTCAATTTTTTCTGTTTCTCCTTTTCTTTCTTTTTCTTTTTTACCTTCTTCTTTTCAACTTTGGAGGCGCTGTCGGATTCATCAGAACTATCTCGAACACTTGCTTTTGTCGAATTTGACTCTTCTGCCTCCACCTCTGGCTTTTCAATAACCAACTCTTTTTCTTTCTTTACCTCGATTTTCTCCTCCTCCTCCTCTTGAGTTTGTTTTTGGGATTTCATCAAGTCACTTCTAATTTTGATTGCAAATTCAAAGGTGCTGGGTGCATCCACCTTAGTCACCTCCTTCTCTGGCTCATCCCAGTCAAAACTTTTCAAGCCAAAGTCAGCAGGAAGATTGGGCATCAGTGATTCTTCATGCTGCGGTGCCTCTGGCTGGTTCGATTGGAAGTGGTCAACAGTCGTATCCATCATCTCATCATCGGAGACATGCTCTTCTTTGATGACAAACGGGGCTGCATTTTCACTACTTGAGCCGAGCATTACTATTTCCAAGTCTTCTGCAGATGCTTGTTGTGCAGGCGTATCTTGTGGAGATTTTTCTAAGGTTTCTGTTGCAGTTCCTGTCGCAATTTCTAAAGGAACAGGACACAGGGTTTCTAATGTGGGCAACTCCGGAATTGCAACTGCTTCAAGTCCATCGTCCAAAAATTCGTCAAAATTTGAGTTCGCCAGATTGGCAAAGTTTCGAACTGCTTCGTCCAAGTCCTCCTCGCCCATTTCACTTATTGCCGATTCAACAATAGTCTTTTCCATCTCTTCGGACAGGATGTTTCCTGAGAAATCTGCGTCACCACACACAGGTTCTTTGTGACAGGCAGCGTCTGGTGGTGCCTGTTGTTGGGCCAGGGCTTCACCTGTTTCACTGCCTTTTTTGTGCTGAAATTAGACGAGTTGAATTTTTATTTCTTAGAATATATTTAGATTAGATTTCAGTGGGCAAGAATTAAGTTTCCATTAAAATTCAACTTAAATGTAATAAAAATATGATATTAAAAGTCTTACCACTTTAGCGTCCATATTAATTTATGGTTATTATTTGATTCTGGCCGCGTCCATCAATCACATAACTTTTGGCCTGTAAATAACGTATATTTACATTTAATCGTCGACCTGAAAAAACACAACAATTACAACTTGAAACTGGGGTCTTCCTTATTACGACATGCAGTGCAAAAACACGATTTAAATGATCCAAAATATGATATGAGCAAGAAATTTGAAGAATTGCACTTGCAAAATTATCAAATTTCCCAACGATAAAAATTTTGAAAGAAATGAGGAACTTCAAAATTATGGGTAAAATTTTCACCGGAAGAAAACAGAAACAGTGCCGACATCAAAATAATGAGGTTTCATGGGTTAATAACACAAAATTTGCAGATAAAAGTAAAAAGCGGACCTGCCATGAAATCGGTGTGTTGATTGCACGTTTAGTTGATAAATTGACCACTCACCCTGGCCGGCCTGGCCCCTGGCGGCGCTGCTTACGGACTTTTGCTTCTAGAAACTCGGCCAAGTTTAGCGGGAGGCTTGAAAAACGACATGAGTCAATCCCACTTGGCCGCAGTGTGAAACTTTCTCGTTTTTCAAAGTGTTGTCGTCGCCTATATTAGCCAAATTTCTTTTAGAATCCTAGTTTTGAGACTGAGATACAATGGGTGAGTTCAGTATTCGCTCTGCATTCGTGCACTCGAGTGCAATTTGGTGTCAAAATATTGGCTGTCACGATCGCATGGTTGCGACGCATTGGGTCAAAATAATCTTGTCTCGGGTCAATGTTTCTGTAAATCTAAAGGTCTTTTACTTTCCAGCTGCCGTTCCAAGAAGTTTTAGTCTTCTAGAAGAGTTGGAGCAGGGACAGAAAGGTGTCGGTGACGGCACCATAAGCTGGGGATTGGAGAGCGACGATGACATGAGCCTCACCCACTGGACTGGGATGATCATCGGGCCTCCCCGTGTAATTATTTCATCCATGCCCATGCATAATTTTCGTCTTGACTTCCATTTTATATGATTTTACAATTGGCTTATCTTTAAGAAAACATAAATAATTCACATAAATAAAACTATTTTGAAGTTTTTTGCAATTGTTTGCTAAAAAATTCAATAAAAACTTTGAATTTATCCATTTTTAGGCAATTGAGCATTGGTTTGTAGAATCAATAATTAAGTTTTTTATTGTGAATATTAAAAAAAAAAATGAAATCTTACCAAATTTTTTTTTGCAGACCCCTTATGAGAACAGAATGTACAGCTTGAGAATTGAGTGTGGTCCGAAGTACCCTCAGCAGCCTCCAACAGTCAAATTCCACACCAAAATTAACATGAACTGCGTCACTTCCACAGGCGCCGTGAGTTCATCTTTCAAATTCAGTTGCCAGAAGCTAATAAAATCGTGATGCAGGTTGACAGCAGAATGGTGCCTGTGCTGTGCAAGTGGCAGAGTGACAACACAATCAAGAACTTGCTGACTGACCTGCGTAGACTGATGACCGCCAAGGAGAATCTGAAGCAAGCTCAGCCACCCGAAGGTACTACCTATTAAGCCGATTTCGCATTCCGTTCTTGCATTCCATGCCGGTCTTTTATTTTCTACCACAACCCAGTGTTGCAGCCATTCTCAGAACCCTTTCCCAAGTTTGTTTGTTGGTTCACTGACAGCCATTCAACGAGTTACTCTTTTTTTAAGCTTTGGTGTGACTGTAGCTGTCACGGTATTTGTTAACATAACCAACTATTAACATGTGATAAAGGATTTGAATAAATTAAATGCTCCATGGCAATTGAGGAATAATTTTGATTTTTAGTTAATAGTAGAAGAATTTCAACTGAACCAATTCATTTATGTGGGGCTTTCAAATGGTATTGATCTTGTATCCTGCTTTTACAGAGATAACCTAACATATTGGAACAGAAAAAAAACTTGCAAATTGATTTAAATACTCATAGAGTCAATAATTCATTTTCAATCAAATGGATTTACTTTCAAGGGTTTTCAAAGCGTCCGTTTTATTGTTAACTGGACGTCAGCACTTTTTAAGAGAGCGCAACTTACTTCTAAACTCATTACTTACAGTTTTCAAGAAAAAAAACTATCTAATAATAATTTATTGATAAAATTATCCATAATTATTTGAAAGGATTTATTTTTTAAATCAAATTGTCTTATTGTAATTTTTTCCACACAGAACGTCAACTTTATTCGTTGCGTGTATCAAACATCAGGTTATTTATTTGTTTATTGGCACTCAATACATCTTGAAACCCAAATTACATATTCACACTTATAATCCACATAGTTATTCTTCGACTGATAGACGTGTATCTTTTACAATAATTTTGACTTGATTATTTTGCCATAGCGGCTCCATAGTGGCCGCAGCCCCCAGTAAGGGTAGATTATATGAGTGTTGTCGGACCCTTTTAACCAGCTTTGCCTTTGGAATACACATATTTTCAGCCGCCCTGGGCTTTCGTAGCAACACCAAATACTCCAATCATGTGTGATTAATTAACTCGTCAATATTGGTAGTAGAATAGACACCGAGATTAGTGTTGATGTTGTTCTCAGCATTTTTCCTTCAGCTCGGACACTGAAGATTGTTGGTACGTTAACGTAAAACATAAATGGGTTAGACTACGTTTTCCACTTAACATACATCAACAGCAAACACCTAACATCCAGTGGTGTATAATCTGTGTATAATATATAATATCGAATATTTTTGTGGGAGGCATTTTTATAGACGCACATTATTTCTTTGGTAATATTCCACAAGAGTCTTTCCATTATGATATTTGATTTTAAATGCTTGGTAGGTAAATTTGCATGGAAGGGCTTCGAGTCTCAATTTGAGCAAAACGAGCCGAACTTCAATTTATTTGCAGAGCCGAAATTGGACTTTGACAAAATTTAACCCCTTTTCCGCCACTTTTGAGCAGCAAGTTCCGCGCAGCCATTCGAGAAACTATCAAGGGAAGTCCTTTGTTTTAAATTTTGAATTTCAGTTTGAATCTATGCCACTTCCATTTGATATCATTTATTTGTCATATCCAGCAAAATGATTGAAAGAATAATCGATTCTCAAGCTTTGTTGCTTCAAAGTAGGCCTAAAGTATGATCTTCGTCGATATAACTATTATTGTTATTTGTCATCGCTAAACTCGTTCAATTTCATTGTGATTGTTCTCAAATTCTTGTCTCGTTCGTTTTAAAGAAGTTCTCAAAAAATATCGACATTTCAGAAATCAATTCCAATAAGGTCATGGCAGAGATTGGTCAGAAATATCTCCACCACAAGCTCATTCCTACTTATTGTTCCGTGTCTTGTATTTTCTTTTTTATTCATCGTCCTCCTCATTCTGGTAGGTCACATACCTTACAGATGCTTTTTCTCCGGCCACCAGTGTCTTTAAAAAATTTACAAGTTTTAATAATTTAAAATTTACACAAGTAAACCAGTATACCTTTTTCTCATCTCGAGTGGGTGGATTTTTGAGAATGAACAAAAGCGGAGCGTACAGGAAGTTCAGAATCGCGATTCCGAACAGCATCCACTCAAAACCGATGGTGTTGACCAAAGTGCCACTCAAAGCAGGCCCTGAATTTTAAAGTTTAATCATGTTATATTCAATTGAGACACCAGTCAGTTGGAATTCTATGTTAAATGAAGCTCACCAACTGCAAATCCCAGGCAGAATGCAACGTCCCCAATTGCGTAAACTGAACCGTAGACTGCCGTGTGTCGTATATCGACCAAATAACCCAGCTCCGGCATCATCGAGCTGTCGACCATGCCGATTGCAAAACCAAGTCCAGCGTTTGGGATGATCAAGTGTTTGATGCTTGTTGCCAGAGGGATCTGAAGTTTTTATCGAAATCTTTATTTTAAATTGTTTAAAATATCGAAAGCTTTAATTTGATGAGTTCTGGTTTTTTTATGGCCTTAAATAATTTGAAAAATAAACTTTTCCTCACCAGCATTAGGCATATGCCGATTACAATGAGTCCTATCATAGAAGCCAACCAGCGTCCCATGCGGTGACCCAGGGGCCCAAACAAGTTGGTTCCAATCAGGTAGGAGATGCTGGCTGGCAGGAAGGTGACACCCTGCTTCCACCTGTCTGCACCCATTGTGTCAATCATCCAGATGGGCAGCGAGGGTTCCAGCATGGCAATGCCCATGTTCGCAAAAGTGATGGCGCCTGAAATTGACGCAAAATTTATCAGTTTATTTTTAATAATCTCCTGGGAAACTGAAATTGCATTAATTCGTTAAAAACATTTAGCTTAGAAGAGAAATACCGTGAATTTATATGTAATTATAAATTAAGGGGTGTTCGAGGAATAATAATTTTTAATTAATGTACTAGAACATAAATTAAATAAGCTTAATTTTTTTTGTAAAGTGGAAAAAAAATGTGTGCGACATGGAGTCAATTTAACGTTTTTCTTATATAATTATACAAATTCGATTAACAAATATACAAAATTCTCTTCTTTGGCTTCTTTGATTGAAAGAAAATTATTTGTATGATCTTCAAGCACTTCTTGTTGTCTAGTTTTTTTTACTCTAAATTTTATTAAAAAAAAAAAAACTTGGAAGAAATTGATTTACCTGCAGCAATAATGATGTAAGGATCGCTGACAAGTGCCTTCATCGATGGCGGGTCGGCTTCTTGCTTTACCACTGCGGGCTGCAGGACCAAAAGTTGCAACACTAAAAGAAAAAATTTTTAATCCATCAAAGTTTTAATTTAATTTTACATCCATCTCCAAGGGCAAGCGCAGATAGAATCAGGAAAGGAGCAGATTTCCCCACAAACTCGTACATGACTCCGCCAAAGGGTGGTCCTATCAAAACTCCGAGCGCCAAACCACCCAGAGCGATGCCCATGGCGTTTCCTCTCTCCTTGTCGTCTGGGTATCGTTCAGCCAACATGCCCATTCCTAATTTCCGGGGTCACTTTTTGCGTAAAAGATGAAAGTGAAAATTCAAACCTGACACGCTGGAACACGAAGAACCAATTCCTTGCAGTGCCCGTGCGATAAACAGAACGCTGTAGCTTCGACCAAAAGCAAAAACTGCAAATTTAGAAGGAAAAGAAATGTATTTTAATTTCAACAAAATTAGGCGTTGGAATTAATAAATTAAAAAGCCAAATTTTAAGCATTTTAAAACACAAATTGTTCATTAAAAAAATTAACAAATTAAATTAAAAAATTTATCTGGATGAATGCAAAATTTGGTAATGCAAATGAAAAAAAAACGGAAAAAACTATCATTTTATGTACAAATGTGTAAGATTAATTTAAAATTCCACTTAAATTTCAATTACATACATCTCTATGTAAAAAAGATGAATTTTATAATGTTTTTAAAGAAACATTTTTAATTTAAATCTTAAAATCAATTAAATCTGGTATAGATTCAACGGTTTGTTAATTAAAACTTCTTTCAGTGTCACTCTCTAAATTAATAATCTGTCCAAACTGATTCGGAAGTTACTAATTTCTGTACAACTCACTAATGGTGGAGAGAAACATGATGATGAAGCCGGTGAACATAGGGATGCTGTATCCGATCCTGCAGAACGAGATTTGTGTTGCATCACTTACGTGTGCCGGTGGGGCAGGTGAGTAATTATCCGTACTTACTTGTGAGTCAAAGGGCCGACGATGGGGTTGGCGAGAAGTTGCACAAAAGCCTTTGAAGCAAACATAATTCCGACAGCCACGGTTTCCTCTATCAAGTCCTTGTGCCGCTGCAACTTCTTTTCTTGCTCCGGCGAGATGGTGGTGGAGACGTTGAGGCCTGAAACACACAGACCTCGGTGAGAGATCGAGAGACCACCCTCTCTCACTCGGAAATTAAGCCTGCACTGCGGTGCGGTCTCATTAGTCGGGCCCCGGCAAAAAGAAACCGCTAATTATATCTACGATGTATTTACCTCGGGACCAGTTCGCGTCCTCCAGGTCGGTCATCGGCGCCATCGGGGTGGTCACGGTGAACGGGGCAACGGTGGTCGTCATGCGGCTCTCGTTCGGGTGCCGAATCTCGTACAGAAATTCAGGTATGATCGGCACTGAAGAAAAAAAATTATAAGCTTGAATTTTTTTATTTACTTAAAAATTAAAGGTAGAGAATTTGGAGTTTTAATAAAAAAAGGATTATATTAATTTTTGTCCATCAATAAAAAGAGAGATTGAACTATAACATTTTAATTTGAAATATTATAAAATATTTTCAATTGAAGAACTTGGCTCTCACTCTCAAAGAGGTGATCATGAAATGAAAAATTGGGATTTTCCACGCTGATAATTTTTTTAATTAATAAAGGAATAACCTCCATGAGGAATGGTCAGTTTTTTTACTTCTTAAATTATTTGGCTTTAATTTATATTAACACTTTTTTAATCGTTATAAATCAATCAGTGATTTGTAAAAAGCACCTGCGTCCCTCTCATATTTTATAAATGCATTTCCCCTGGAGAGGAATAAAGGTAATTTATCGGCTCAGATTGCAGCGCCTGGAAAGTTTTATTGGCTCATAAATATGGATAAAGCCAGTGCTTGTAAGCCGATATTGAAAATATTTGCAATTTAAATAAACAGCTTGTGAATTACGAACTCGTTGAAGCCACTCTTATTGCAACTCGGAAGAAAATAAAAATGCTTTAAGTCTAACGCCTTGATAAGCGAAAGATGCAACCTGCACTGCAACGACGTACTTCACGTTGCATAATATCAAACAAGCTCTTACAAAAAAAAAACGTTGCACGTTATCTGTCAGTTTTTATTACTGCTACTGGTAGTGAATTTGTAAAACTGAAATCTTATTGTAAGAAAAATCTATAGGTTTATTTTATTAATAATGAATGTTAAAAATTTTAAGCATTGCCTTCATAACAAAAGAAAAAGATATTTTAATTGGCTACATTTTCGTATGAAAGTTTTTGTTTTTCAAAAATTTTCTTGTTAAGAAATATTCATTAAAAAAATTCCACAAAATGCTCTACAACTGAGCTTAAAATTTTTTTAAGTTACATCATTTCATCACCTATATCTATCAATGCAGAAACTATGAAGATTATTTTCAAACGCGTTATAAAATGTTATAATAATTGGCGAGACGTCCTTTTCATTTTTCTGCCTGCCTCTCGCGACGCATCTGTACGGCTCTCATCCCCGTCCTGACTTGTTCGCTCTTCGCTCTCAAGCTCCAAGCAGCAGCAAGCAGCAGCCACCGCCAGCAGGGTGGGGTGGAGGGAGGAGAGTCTCATGTGTTCAGTGTTCAGTGTTCAGTTTTCAGTTCAACAAATTAACAAAAACAAAAGTCGCCTCTCGGTGCATGGGCGGCCCGTATTTCGCCGAATTTGAGCCGACGGAGGGTTTCGCCGACCTGCCGAGGACCCCAAACGGACCAAGGACCATCGCCGTGCCCCCAAAGGTAGGGGAAACCGCAATATAATTTTTAAACGTGCGCCAGGCACATTTGTTTGGTTTGCCATATCGCATCGGCCCGCGTGCACATGAATTGCCCCTCTCGCGCCTGTTGTGTTTATTGTTGTTGTAGGTTGTGGCTTTGGTGGGTGCCATAACAGCCAGATCTGTTTTTTTTTTAATTGTCAATTGTCGTCTAAATTTTTATATTAAAAATTTAGGGATATATAACTGTAGAATCCATGCATTTCTCTTGTTTAAAACTGAGCGGGCCAACCTGGCGAAAGCGCAGAGATAGTCCAACTCCGATTTGAGCCGATACGAGAGCCGAATTTCATTCACCCGGAAAAAATGTGCTGTTCGGACTGCTTAATCAAATGCGTTAAGCCATAAAAAATTTGAATTCAAGGACCCCGTGAGAGAAAGCCAAAAAAACCAAAACGATTAATGTTCTAATAAGGTATGAGAACTGCAATCACGCGCACTTAATCTTGTTATGTTGTACAAAAGTTGACCTTGAAACTTTATAATCTCCCAAACATTTCAAGACATTAAGCGAAGAATTTCATATGCCTGCTCAAAAATTTCTGATCGTTATCAGATCGCAAGTGTATGAATGTGAAAACTTGTTGCGAATATAGAGCTAGATGAAAAAATTATGCGGCGAGTATGTAAATCCATAGAAATTAAAATTTTTCATGATGTCGATTAAAAATTAATTTATTTGCTTGTTTTAGATTTTCATTTTATGTAAGCTAGTACATATTTGTATTGATTTAAAATATTCAAAACCAGGTTATAAGTATTAAATACAAAATACAATTATTCCCGCTGGATTGTGGTTGCGGAACTCATAATATGAATTTTTAACAAATTAAAATTGAAAGTTAAATAAATTAATGAATTAAAAAAGATTAAACTCACTAAATTGGGTTGAAGATTTAAATGAACCATTAGTAAATAAAGTGATTTTAAAAGCCATCTCAATACAGTAAAATTACAGAAAAAGCTTAGAGCTGTGGCCGCTTTTAAGGTTGAGTGGTGACGAGCTGATGCGTTCTAGCTTAAGTCCTGCCCTGAGCCTAAGGTTGGCTCAGTAAATCTTTAATTTGATAACTACATTTAAAAGTAAAATTAAAAAGTGTGGCTTTCCATGCCCATAAAATATGATTTCATAATTATATCACAATGCATCACAAGATAAAAAAAAAAAAAATAACTGAAAATACATAAAGCAAAACTATTAAGAATGCATATTATAATTTTTAATTTATTTTTAGCGTCTATGAATGAATAGTCGACGGGCAAACAAATACTCCTTAATTCATAGAAGTTGGAATTTTCTAGATTGTTTCTGTTGCCTTTAAGAAAGACACTCAACGGGATTAGGTTTAACTCCACACAATGTACTTCGTCCACCGAGGAAAGGAACTCTCGCGGGATTATTTCAGAACAAAAACTAGACGATCGCCTTCCTCACGTGAAGATTAATCAAAGAGCCGTCGGCAGAAGTGATATAATGAATAATGCAACGAAATCAATCACGTCGCCTTTTATAGAAATGCATATCAGCGCAGCTCGTCGCAGCCAATGTTCTCCAACTTTCGGCCCCAAGTGTATATATAAAAATTCCATGATAAGCTTAAAAGCCTCCGGGTGTTAACTTCGCGATGTTTTATTCAGCACTTAAGTCCGCCATCAAGCGCCGGCAGAAAATCCACCCCTATAGCCGATATTGACCAGTACAAAAAGACGGAGAGGGTCCGACCGGAGAAAAGGTCGCTGGCGGAGATTTTTCCAACTACTGCGACTGGAAAAAGTCGCCGCCTCAGGCAAACTCAACAAGTGGGATCAAGCGGGGGTAAAAAAAGAAAAGAAAAATTCATGTTTCCAGCCACTTGACATTCACCACCTTCTTGGCAACCCGCATGCAAAGCCAATACTTGAGCGTGCTTGGCTATTTGTGCAAAGTTTTAGTTGTCTACGTACCAACGGTGGTAAGGAGCATGTTGTCCAAGAGGAGGGCGATCGCCACGATGATCAAAACCAAGCGTCTCGACTCGCGACATTCCTGAAGGTATGCCGCGAACCGCGGCCCACCTATCAGCTCCGCGATGCCCATTGGCCTCCTGTTATCAGAAAAACAGAAAAATTCAGTCATTTTTTATTTTCAAAGTAAACAAATAAAAATAAAAATTTGAATTCTGCAATTTAAGTTTAAATTCATTTAAGCGCAAGTTAGAAGAGTGGGAATTAAAAATTAAAACGATTTACAAGGGGCTTGTCAACTTTACATAGCACATCATTTGGGGAAATAACATTCCCGGTTCAGGGTAAAACTTTTTAAACCTTTTCGTGTTTAACAAAAGCAAAAATAAATTTAAAATTTAACTTGATATGACTTGAAAATAATTATATTTTTTGGTTGCACTTTTAACAAAAAATATTGTGTATTATTTTAAAATTTTAAATTATTACAAAAAACAATTTAAGCGTACGATTTAGGATATGAATCATTCAGCTATGATTATTTAAAAATAGATAGATATTTACTATGTCATTATTTCAAGCAATTGCCATGCATATTACTCAAAAGGGCCCCTACGCTGAACCAAATTGAAATACACTTTGTGGATTTGTTAAAATTGATTTTACCTGTAAATTCCAATTAATAGTTTTCACATAAATTATTGCTCTAAATCATACTTACAATTAAGTTTGTTAAATTAAATATTTAAAGAAATGAACCACAAAAATCTAGATTATTTTTAATGTTAAATATAAAAATCATTTAATTTATGTTCATAAAATTTTTTTAGAATTAAAATTTTGAAGAGTTGCAAATAAATAATTACGTTAATGTTAATGCTTGTATCAGTATAATTCAGCATAATAGTAAGTAAGTCCGTTTAACTAACATGAAAATAAAAATGCATGCAATAGTATCGGTGCATTTTATACTTATATACTTTAAACTTTGCAAATTTGATACATGATACACCTATATTGGAAATAGGTTCATTCAAGTTCTACAAAACGATAATAATGTTTTGTTTAAATTGACAGTATGTATTGTTATCTTTGCACGGCATTTTTACAGTTTTTCAACCCTCATAAATTTCAGTCGAAAGCTCCCTGATTTGCAATTCAACCTCATTGACAACGGCGGAGAAAAATGCGATCCGCCTGCGGGGCGAGCAATAAATCTGCGTAAAAACAGGTGGCCATAAAACCATTCCGGGCCAAACAAATCCCTAAACTGACAAAGAGCTATTTTACGGCCGGCGGGTGCTGCTGTTGACGCTTTTCGTAAAAACACCGCCTGCTTTTCTCTCATGCAGAAATTTGACGGCCTTTATTTATGCGCCATTTGAGCCAAATGCTGCTCTAATTTTTACTGCACACTGCATTAATTTAATACTCTGACGTCACTTTTTTGTTACATTAAGTGTGCTATAGGCTTTTTGTTGCCATTCGAGCCGGGCCAGCGCCGGACCAATGGAAAAATCGATGCGAAAAAAGTGGACTTTTCCTCACACAAAGAGGAAGGAAAAATGGCCAGCACCGACCATATATTATGTGTGTCACTTTATCGGAATTCATTTTTCCACCCACTTGTTCTGCACCCATATTTTTTTTACGCAGAGTCCATCAGTGCAGCCATGTCAATTTCATCAGTGTAAAAAGCGGCGGCGCGCACTTTCGTCGGGAGAATTGATGCCGCACGCTTGCACGCCGCGAGTGGAATTTGCATATTGCTTGGTTCAGGGGAAAACAAACAGTATTGCTTGAGTATATTGAATTTCCTGGGTAGCCGCAGGCGCACAGTTTGCAGATGGATTTTGCTCAAAATTCGGGAAGCCCTCTTTGAAAACAAACTTTCAGCCCCGCATGCCATGTTAAAGATGAACCTTCAGCGGTTGCAATGGAGGGACACTCTGTGGCATGTAAAAGAGGAAGAGTTTCAAACATCATAAATTCAGAAAAGGATGGCCATATTTTTTCATTTACACCCGCATTTTGAAGAGCGTGTTGTATTCATGTTAAAAATTCAGTCATTAGACAAAATTAAAAAGAAATACTCATTTATTTCTGTGTATTTTTATCTGATCAATATATACGTATATCTATCTTAAAAGAATAATTAAAATCAAGACTAGGAAATTATTTTTGTCTCATATTTTTTAAATTTTTTAAAAATTGAAAATAACAAAAATAACTAAAATCATTATCTATTTTCCAGATTTCTCCGAAAAAATTTGACGAATATATGTTTAAAAAATAACCAACTGGAGCACCAGTGTTCCAAGGAAACTGGGGTTGTTAAAAGATCAGTCGTTTTCAATTTTCCTCATTTCCAGTCCGGATGTTTCACCGGCTCGTAATTAATTTTGCCGGCAGTTTGAGCGTGGCACCGCCGACGAGGAAATCCAGCAGCGGCTTTTAATTTCGCTAAGCACTCGACGGCAAATAAACACGGGGGTGGAAAGAGAGAGCGCGGCACAAAATAAGTGCAGCAGAGAAGATAGGGGGCCGATGATTGTGTGCCATGCATGAAGGCACATAACTCTCGTCTCTGGGAAAAGTCGTCGGTCGAACAGAGAACGGTCGGGAAATCGTTAAATTCAATCAGTCACTTAGAAGTCCTGGCCTACTCAGGGAGAACAAAAATCGTCGTCGTGAAAAGAGAGGCGATTTGCAGTCGAAGATCGAGAAAGAGGAAGACGCGCTTTTACTCACTTTTTCCAACGAAATATATAATCGTGTACGCTCCTTTTCTCGCGCGCTCCAAATCAATTTCCTTTTGTCTGCTCGAGACGCATTTGCGGCGTGAAATATTAAAAAGGCCCTGGTGCGAATTTTGTGCGCGTCTGTCGATTTTAATTGTTAGGCGCGCGCCGGCTGCTCCTTTTGCGGTGTTTGCTTTTAATTATTCCACGCTCGTGTGCAATTAACGCTCGATTTTTCGCGTAATTTGACTGTTTGCAAGCGCGATTATTCTCTACGCGTTGTTTGCTCTCTCGTCCCTTTCGACAATCGCCGCCTGGGCAAACACAATCTGCGGCAGAGCGCCAGTAAAATGGTACGGAAAACGATGCCTTCTCCAGCAAATTATGATTCCCATCTCGTCATCGTGATTTTCAAAAATAAGGACACTTGAATACTATTTTGGCTCCTCTGAAATCCTTGTATGTTATCACGCAATATTTTGCATTTTATTCATTTATATTTAATTCAATTTTATTTACATAGAGAATAAAAGTTGGGATTAAGAAAGAACCGTGAGATGTTTGCCAAACAATCCAGTCTATTCAACACACAGAAATGTGGTGCTCATTTCATCCCATCTGTCACTCCCTCCTCCTCCCTAGTCTCCTTCTCTGAATACTCGCGATAGCAAATAATCTCTGACAACGATTCAATCGGCAGTTTATTGGAGAATGTTTAGAGTGACGTATTACTAAGTTTTTTGTGCTCCTCTATTTTGAAAGTGTAAAATTCGTTGATAAAAGTGGCATAAAGCATTAGGGATTTTTTAAATTTAAATTCAATTTGTGATTTGAGAAAAAAAGTCTTCAGTTTTCAATATGTGCAGGGAATGTAAGTTTAAATAAGAACTTTTGAGGTCCCAGCACCACAAAATTTAATGTAAATATTTAAAAAAAAATTAAAATCAATACTTAAAATTTTTTAACCACTATATATATAATGCATATATGTATATCAGATACATACAGGACACACGATTATAATTATATTAGTACCCTATAAAATATTTTATTTAATCTTATCAATTTTCAAATCCTAATGAAAAATTTTAGTTTAAATTACATCACCACCGCGATATACAAAAAATTTTAATCATCACCATGTGAAAATAAAAGTGAAAGATCAATAATTGATTTTTCACAAGTCTGCATCATTCAATATGCAGAGCTAATCCAGTCCTCCTCCATATCAGTTCATTTTTTATGCATCGATAAATTTGTATTATACTCTTCATACGTGGAAAAAAGAAAGATTTTCTCAAGCAGTGAATAGGGTATACTTTTCATTTTACCTGTTGAGAACGCGACGAATTCTCAGCCAATATTAAAGACGCCTGTCTGATTTCCCAAGAGGAAACCTGTGCAGCAATTTCGATTCCCTGATCACTTGCCTCTCAGCCAGTCGCTCTGGCAAGAGGGAAATTTTAAGCAATTGTTCTCCCAGCAGAACCATAAAATGGATATGACGAGAAAACCATAGAACAAGAAAATCTATATTATTTGTGAATTGCGAATTTATAAAAGGCAAATAAATGTGAGAGGATCAGGGTTTAGAGGAACAAGCAATAAAAAAAGGGTAATTTTTTTGGGAATTTCAGAATACAGATCTATCGTTTTACTTGCACTTGCAATTTTGCAAGAAATAAACAAAAACTTTTGTTATCAATGCTTTTGCCGAAAAATCCCCAAAAATACTTATACTGGTTGGCTTGAATGCAGCCTACAATTATTAATGATTGAAATTCAAAGTTTTAAAAGTAGCTTTTAAGCAAAATTTAATGTTGCACAAAAAGTTGCTTGATAAGGCAGCCAAAGTGGTTTAAAATATTTTCCATTTATTAATATAAAAATCACTTTGACATAGTGAAAAAAAATTTAATAAACATCTGACACAAAATAGAAGGTATCAATCTATCCTCTTAACCGCAATAAAATACATTTTACACCAGTGACATCTTTAAATAAATATTTTCAATAATAATTTAAAATCACAAGGATCATTTTTAAATTGTATCTACTACAATTTTCAACGTATTTATGATAGAATTTTGTGTTATTTGGATTCAAAAGAAGATCATGGTTGCCGGTGGCCGCTTTGCTAAGACAAAAGACAAAGGGAAAAAGACGAGTGGCCGCAGTCATATAATTATTCATGTACTTTCAGCACTTTTTTCCACAGTCGGAATGACGAAATTATGCTCTCGAAATGAAAAACGGGTGTCCTTTGAGTGCGAGAGTCGAATCCCCGTTGAATTGGCGCGTAATTAGCAAGTCATGTCGCGTTTAGCGCTCCAGCAGCAGTCGATATTTTGGCGGCAGGGACGAATTATTAAAAAGTAGCGAGCTGCACAGCACCCTGTTCGGGGCCACCCTTCGTCACCAGTTTGGCAAGCGAGCGAGAGAGCAGGGGTCGGAATTGAATTTGCGCGCCGAATTGAAGCTCAAAATTTAATAGCCCGGCACCGTTGCGCTTGATTGAAAATGCGGAAAATGTGCAAAGGGCGCTTATGTTCTTTGCAACCAACGCCCCGCTCGTGTTGGTCGCGCGAGAAATAACGCTCTCTCGACGTGATGATGTTTTTCCAATAGCTGTCTGCGGCAAACTCGGTCAATCATTTCGCACCTCCGACATTCCAGCAGCCGGCTGCGTTCCACGCAATTTTTCCGGAAGATAAAGACCCACAATGCCAGGAAGGAATTCATGGGGGAGAAGTTTTGGTCCTATATTATTTTGATATGAGGGTGGCGTGCTGACCAGACCACTCTTAATTGGAAAAGTTCGTCCCAAAGTTATAAATTAATTGGAAATAAATGTTGCCTGAATGGAACTAAATTCTCAAACTCTTAAAATTAAAATTTTAAATCAAATGTGACAAATTTGATTATAAAAAATAAATATTTAATTTTTGAGGTTTACTGTAATATTATCATATGATTTATGATATTATTTTAACTGTAATTTTTAATGCACTGTTTCAAATATAATTGCGTGGGTTTAATTGTTTAAAATTTTTGATATTAAATTGAAACATAAAGCAGCTGAATATGCCACCTGGTGTAAATTGTTTTGATTAAAAATATTCAAAAGTCGCGACGATATCACGGTCTGCAGTCCTAATTCATAAGCATGATAGAAGAATAATTTTTTTTTTAATAATTTAGCACAAATTTTGTAATGAATAAAGGAGAACTTATAATTTACAAATTCTACAAAGCCTTCCGTGTAAAACGAGTCCAACAATAATTTTTTAAACTGAGGAGAAAACTTGATCGGTTAAGATTGATCAGATTTGACTACGCTTTAGTGTCTGTGGATTCTCAAAATATACTTTTATTTATTGTTTTTTTTTTTTTTTAATTTAGTAATTTTCATACTAAATAAACCCTTTTCCTTTCCTGATGGTTACGTTTGTACTTGTAGAACATGCATATATTATAGTGGTTAAGTTCGCCCGCCACACGAACAAAAGTTTTCCATCTAAACCCCGAAAATCGTATTTTGTTCTTGACGGAAACTCGCATGAAGCTCTTTCACTCTGCGAAATATAAGTTCTTCTTGTTACGGTGCACCTGCTACATCAGAGAGAGAAGCGTGCAGTGCGAGCAGAGTTTGCAGTTCTTGCGATTTTGAATCAATAGTCAGCAAAAGAGAGTTGTCTCTCCATTAGAGAGAAGCCCTTTATATTTGTATGTACATCCCCAGCTATATGTATGTAAAAAAAAATATATATGCTCTCCTCACCTCCTCTGCGAGGAGTAAAAGAAGGGTGCCAATAAAATCTCGCGTCTTTCCCTCTCCTCAAAGAAGCATTGTTGCTTTTGAAGAAAGAAGAAGCAGAGATACTACGCTTCTTGCTAACGCCAGGCGTAAATAAGTAGATTTGCTTTATTTGCTTTGATGGAGCGACGCTAAAAGGGCACCAAAGATTGTTAGCAACGTTTTTGCTCAATCAAGAACTCGTAAAAATATTCACCTGTTTTCCTTCTGCAAGACTCTGAGCCCTCTGTTTTTTAAACATAAAAAAATGTAATGAAAACGATTTTACTCAAAACTTTTGAGGTTTAGTTGCTTAATTTTGATTACAAATTTAAAACATAAATTCAAAACTTCAATTAAAAATATTTTAAGATATTATTTTCCTCCAGCTTATTTGATCTTAAACTTTTATGTTCAGCAAACAGAAATTTTGATCTAATATCCAAATAGTGATTGTGAAATTTCCCTAAAAACCTTTTAACTTTTAAAAAGCATCATTTTGCGGAGTGAACTCCAAAATACGCTCCCTGCTGACAGTGAAATTTTCTTTGACTCCCATCTCGTCCGCCACACATGAAATATTCAACGCACAAAAGACTGCTTGGATGAATGAAACAGATTAATCTCTGTCCGTCGGTTCCTGTGTTTTCTCGGGTGCGCGCTGGTTGATATGAGGGCCAGTAATGGGCAGCGATAACAAACGCACCCACATCCAGCTGCTTAACTTGAAAATTCATTGCGAAAATCTGACGCACCAACTCATTTCCATTAATAATTTTCCATTAATGTCGGAAAAATTTAATTTTCCAACAGAGAACTTTTAATTCAATTTTCAATACTTGCTTTTAATTAAATTAATAGACATCCTTGACTTTGATGGTTCTGAAAAGAGTTGAGTTTCAGAAGTTCACAATTAACCCTTATTATTATTATTATTATTTTAATTTCCTTTTCTTTAATTTTAAGTATTATTTTCAATGAAAAAATCAGTAAGACAAAATTAATAATGGCTACAACCTAAAAGAAGAAGAAAAATTAAAATAAATTTTTAAAATTTGAAATAAAAAATTTAAAAAAATGACATTTGATTAAATTTGAATCAGGAAATTTTGGAAGAATTTTGTGACTGACCGTGTGGCTCCGGGCTGGCCGGGGGCTGAGGGTGTCGTCCTACTCCATGGTTTGGGTGGTCATCGGCGGCAGCAGAGCCGCGAGTGCCGCCGTCGTGTGGCCGCTTGGGACTGTGGCGCCGCGGCCGGAGCACCCCTCGACGCGCCCCATGGCGTGCTACCCTTCTGAGCACACAGGTGACTACTCGCCGCTTATTGGCTGTCGAGGGGCAACCCTTGCTCCATTGGTCCGCCCGCAGGATGCCGAGTTTTAATTTTGGCAGGGTCTGATGCTCTCGTCGCCCCTTGTGCTGCCCGTCGTCATTTTGCCTCGGCCGCCCCACTGGGCATGCGCTCCACCCCCGCGCCACCCCAAAGCATCCCTCTCTCGCAACGACAGCGATTGATTGCGTCAGAGGTGTAGTGCTCCGTTGCAGCAGCCCGCGAAAAGCGGCACCACTTCGAAGATTCAGAGAGAAATAAAATCACCATTCAAAGTAAAACAAAATGCAAACAAACAACAATGTCAAATCTTATTAACTATTTTATTACTTTATTTTATTTATGATCTAAGAGATTCAAAATTGCAGTATTACTGATTAAAAATATTAAAATAATTTTTTCTATTTAAGTAAAATATATTTTTAGAATATGAAATAACAAACAACTATTATGATACATACTGGACTGATTAATAACAAAAACTAAAAACAATATAGGTTTCAATCATCATACAATTTCAGCATTGTAATGATAATTACATATCAAAAACATAGATCCACATGCAGAATTAAAAAATAATTCAATGTAATGATATAATGCTATATATGTACTAAAATTAGAACAAAACTTCCTCGCATCAATTTTTAATGACCTTTGTATCAAGTTTTAAGCTTAAAATTATTTCACTATTAAAGACCTGGAAGTATCAAATATTAATTAAAAAATAAATCGATTAACCAAATAACAAACGCAATGATCGTAAAGGTGTCAGCTGGGTGTCAGTAAATTTTTGCATTTCTATTTTTATGACAAATCCAAGCAAAAAAACACACTGTTTTGTTTAGTTGTGACCCCTGAAATTGTACAATTTTTTTACCCAAATCATGAAATTTTATTTTTGGTTCTCCCATCATTGATCTTTTTGCAGAATTGTAACTTTCCACTTATAGATCTTTTCGCAGAAGTTGAGTTTTAAGGAGTCGTTTATTGGCTGCCTTGACTTGGCTGATGCACGCGCCGAGGGGTCCACTTTAAAGGGGGTTGCAGCTAGGGATTGATGTCAGCAGAATAAAGTGGCAGACTCAAAGGCTTTTCTGCGAGCCGAAAGGCGCTAAAATATACAGGCCCAACAAGAGAAACCACTTCGGGTATCAAATTTACCGTGGCAAGAGGAGCGAGCAAAATGATGACTCCTACGCGGTGGCGTTTTGCATGGAAATCCTCTCGCGAGAGCCAAAAGTGGAGCAACAGACAACACCAATTTCCCGAGCTATTTTTCATGCCCTCGTCATGTATGAAAATGTCGAAACACGTCCTGAACCCATTTTCCGCGCTGTTTACGCCGCCAGGAAGATGACGCGAATTTCAATAATAATCAACTGGTGGAGAGGATAGAGAGAGAGAGAAAACCTCCTGTGATTACTCGGAACCGATAAGAGACTTGCCTTTTCAGCCCGTGACAGGAACAAGACCGGATCATTAGCACGGCGCCGTTAATCAAATCAGGACAATTAATCTCTTCCTTTGCGCTCCACCGGCGTGCTTTTGAGCGTTTCGGGGCCAACAAAAACACGATCAACGCGAGGTGTGTGGGATTCACCAGCTTTTGAGAAGTGTCAATTTGGAACTTTATTTAATTAAGGGAATCCATCTGAAATCGGTTTAAATTGGAAGTAGCTCTGAAAATCTGCAGAGGAAACGTGAGAAAACAAATTAATTTTTTGTTTCTAACTCATTTTTTGAAGTAGCTTAATTCAAAGTAATTTTATTTTCAGAAGTAAGAGAAATGTGTGTTCAGTTTTGAGAAAATCGTCATTTAATATGCAAATCATTACTCAATACTGTCGATTGTAGAATTCTGTTGATTTGCATTGAATGGGATTTGAGGTATTATAATTTGTTATTTAAATGCCATACAAGTGATTTTTTTAATTGAATTTAGATTGTTTAATAAAATTTAAATCAGTTGATAGGTATTAAAATATTGGTAAATTTGCATTTTTGGCAAAAAATAGATATTTCAAATTTTTTTGTGTCCTGTCCAATGTATCTTATCAAATTATGATGAAAATATGAATCGTTTTCTTTGTTGGGAGTTAAATACAAACATTCTAAATTGAAACATTCTAAATATAGCAGATGTCAAAATGTGTAGCGGTTCCTAATGACATTTTAGTTGGAAATTTAAAAATAAAAATTATGACATACATGGCTCCAAATAAAACTTGATACCCAAATAAAAATAAATTAAAATTAATAATATTACAATTAAAATATTCTAAAAGTTATTTTAGTTCCTAAACAGAAAAAAGCCTCAAAATAAAATTTTAATATCAGTAAATTTTATTGCCAAATATATCTCCTACACGATTTTTCTTGATACAAATAATATTTCTATTATATATTACGCAGTTATAGAAATAAGAAAACATTTCATAATAACAATTTTTCATCTTTATTTAATTGATAATCTCCAAAGAAAAAAATTATTGAATTTATTCCAATGTTTGTAAACATTTAAATCAAAATGTTGTAAGTTGTTTCAAACATTGTTTTATTCCTCCTATGTAAATAGGCCTAAATAAGTTTAACACTAATTTCAATCAAAAACTGTCAGAAGTTTGAAATCAAATTATCTCCTCTTTTAGGTTCTAGAAATTAGTTGATTTCCGAGAAGGAAATTTTGCTTTTATTGAACTGACTAGATTCAATATTAAATTGCACACAAGTTGCTTTGGGATCGTTTTCAGCAGCACTCGAAATAATTTTCCTCGGCGAACTCGCGCGATATCGAGCGCCTTCCGCCCGAGCATGATACGCCAAGGTGTTAATTCGATTCCGGCGCCGCCTTCTCCATCGCTAGTATAGTGACTTGTCGCGCGCCGGTAAATTAATTTCCAACTCTCGTGATATCAGAGCGAGTGCAGATTGGCGTGCACGCGGGGCTAATCATCCACCCCCGCACGAGCTGGGGTGTTGTTCACGCGGCGAAAATCACCCCGTCGCCAGATTATTGTTTGCTTGTGAGCACTTGTATCGCTGTGGGGGATTTGGCTGCTTCAAAGCCAAAACCGAAACGGCACAAAGCCACCCTGCTTTCATTTCCTCTGCGCCAAACGCGCGTTTCATCTTCGTGTGGCTCAAGGTGCTTTCCAGATTTAAATTTGATAGATTGCTCCGGGAGGTTCATCACTTTTTTTTTTATTAAAATAAACTTTTGATACCAACAAACAACATTCTCGGTTTTTCCATCTGCTATAACTTACTCTTTGTGTCGTTGATGAGTTTTATGTAAAAAGCAAAAAAAAAAAAAAAAAAAAAATGCTAGTGAAATCTCAAATTTTAACGAGAATTGATTTTTTCTGATGAAAAGTTTTGCTTCTCCTTGGGCCAATTTTACTAGAAACGACTTATTGAAGTGCCAGGCATGTAGTGTGATGATCAAAAGACGTAATATTTCAATCAGAATTGTACGTGGAATATTTTTCCGGAAAACAAAACGCTTTATTTAGAATTTATAACAATTTCACAGAACTAAGCACTCAACGTCTCATGCATAAAATCCTTCAAAATCCTGTAAAGATCATATATGTAAAGATAAAATCATTAGCAGCGAAAACCACAATAAGTTATGTGGAAATTTGATTATTCATTGGATATACCTGATAAAATCTGAAAAGAAATTACCCAACAAAATGTATTATGCTTATGATTGCTTGATCCTTATAACAATTATACTACAATCATTACTTAACGTATAAAAAATATACTAATAGAAAAATATTTTACTATACAATAATAACTTGTAATATTAAATTTTACACAACTATAATTTTTTTAATTTTTTTTTTATAAATCTCATAAATCTATTTTCTTTGCATTATATTTAACATTTTTTTTTTAAATTTATAATAAATTTGATTAGTTAGTTTCAATTTTTTAATTTAAATAATCTTGTATAAATCAAATGGTTTCAGTTCAATTCCTAATTATATAATGTGGGAAAGTAAAATAGGTTGGTAAAAGAGTTTGTATTAATGATGGTTAATTTTCAATAAAAAGTAGTATCAAGAAATTTGGATTGATAAAATTTCAACAGGCAGAAGCTAGCTGATTGAAATAATTTATAATTGACATGATTGTACTAATTATCAAAACTTAAGTTCAGTTTTGTTTTGAATTGTTTCGAACTTAAAAATGAAGCAATGGATCCCAATTTTCAAATTTGGAATTTAGTCTGATAAAAATATTATTTATGCTTAAAATCTGCGTTATTTATCTTCACTGCCTCCATTCCCCATGTAAAAGCTGTGATTTCACTTCGAAGAAACTTTTCCTTACGCGAAGACGGAAAAATTGGCGGAATCGCAAAAGTGTCACGCGCCGCTGCACAATGTATAACTCAACAGGTCTGGGGCTGTTCGCTCACTGCAACAGGTTCGTTTCGGCGTTACACATTCGCTAACTCTGCACGTCAGCAAAAAGACGTCGGCGAAAGAGAGCTTTGATCTCTCAAGAGAGAAGAAGCGCCGACAGAAATTGAGAATCGGCGTCTTTGACTTTTTACATTTGACACGCACACATACAAAATTTGACACACAATTGAGTCATAAACAGAATTGCAAATTTTGAGCTAAATTATAATCTCTTATTATGTCATGATTTTTTTTTTCTCTTTCTTCAGTTACAGTTTCTTAATGACTTATTAATAGAGGAAAATGGTTTGTAAATTTATAATTTATCAAAAAAAAAAAAAAAAATTTAATGTTAGCCACCACAAATCAACGATGGACGAGATGGTCTTTTTTAAAATTTTAACTCTCCATCTATAAATTATTAGCTCAAATTAAAAAAGCGTGTCTTTCATGAATTCACTATGTACATCAATATTAAATTTAAAAAAAAATGAAATTTCAAGTGAATTATTATTATTATTAGTCAAAATCAACATCTCTACAGGACGTTTTCTTAGAAAAATAGACAGGAATGTAAAATTTCGACTGTTTTATTGTTAGTCGATACAATTTTGGTTATTAAATTGCCATGATTTGTGATCTTTTTAAAGATTTTTGACTACAAAAGTTAT